ACTAGTGTCAAGTCTCCTTTAAATAGTATTATCTGGTGACAATGTATATATGAGCTAGGAAAAATAAACACAATTCTGTATTTTTCTGTTAATGAAAGCATACCAAATTACATACTTTTTTTTTTACTGGTCAGAGAAAGGAAAATTACATGTAGTTGGTTTAGTACCTTCATTAGTCAAAGAAAACACACTTTATTAAATGATGGAGCAAGTAAAAAGAATGGCTAAAGTTTACACTAATACTGAGTGAGGACAAGAGAAGTGGCAAAGAGATGGGAATAAAAAGTACTATGGGCAACAATAAATGATAAAACTAATACTAATCAGATGATGCTCCTACAGATATGAAGAATGCTCTATTTAATCTGGCAAAATAATTACTCTCCTTGATTTTAAAAATGAAAAATTAAAATAAAGTTTAGAGATTAAACAATGTACCTAAGGGTAGTTAGTATGGAATCACTCAAAACTGGTGGTATGTACAGCAAAACTAGTTTTGTTTACTTGGACTGGAGTTACTATGACTTGACTAATGAACAGTATCTTTTATAGCATGGAAACACACTAAAACTTCCAAGTTTAAGACGACTTGCAGAACTTGGGTTCTAAAAGCTAGGGCCTACAAGAGGAATATAGCAGGAATCCAGAAATACATTTAGTTTACCATATTGCAGGGGGAAGGGACTGCATGTTTGTGACCCCTCCATCCACCGGTACCACGACCTGTATGCTGGACAGCACGCTGGGAGCCACCATAGCTTCTGGATTGTACTTGTAATCCACTCTGAGATCAGTGGTGCTGGCACTACATTTCCAGTAGGTTGCGAGATTCAGAGGAGTGGACTGAATGCCATTTGATGATACCTTTTAGAGAAAAGCAAGCAATTGTTTTAGGCCAGAAATGTAAACAAGTTATGTTAATAACATAGAAACTTGTACATATGATTTCACAGAATCCAAAACACCTAATGAGAGGACAATCTGTTGCTAGGCTAGATGAGTAAAGCCAGCTCATCTCACAGAAGTAAGGCTCACTCTGACCGTGGAGATGCTAGCTCTATCTACATCAAAACTGTCCTGGTTCCTGCCTGCGGCGCACATTCCCTTGGCAACAACTGCAGAAAATCTCATCCGACAGCTTAGGTACGGGGCCCAGAAATGAACATGTTATCAGATGATTCTTGTTCATATGGTTTAAAGTTTGAGAACCTTTCAATATTTACCAGAATTTTTATTTATTTATTTTTTAAGAGAGAGATTTTTGCTATGGGGCTTATGGACTCGCTTAAGAGACAGAGAAACAGAAAGTGAGAAATCAACTCCCGTGGGATGGTCATGCCATAATCCCTTCTCCTCCATTCTTCATTCAGGATTTTGGGCATGTACACACATGCATCTGGTGTGAGTTTTAAGCCACCAGGTCCAGGACTTGAACTGCAGTCAACTTCATGGGAGTTCAGTGATATAACCATTAAACCACCTGATGGTCCCTTAAGGTTCTTCATGAATAATAGAATTTAAAGTAGTGGTGGAAAAATGCTTGGATCACCATGCAGGTCAACAAACCTAATTAGAATACTTCCAACTTAAAATGTGTTAACTTGAATCATGTGAGCCATAGTAAATGGAGCAATTCTTTCCAATTCTTCAGCAACTTGCTCAAAGACTGTTTCAAGGAAACCTACTAAAAACTGCATTTTCAAGCTTTTTTGCCTTACTTTACTCTTTTTCTTTTCTTCATACCATTTCTTTTCTTTCTTTTATAATTATTTTTATTTTATTTTATTTTATTTACTATTTATTATTTTTAATTTGACCAGAGACAGAGAGAAAGAGAGAGAGAGAGAAAGGGAAAGTGAGAAAGCAAGCCTCCAGATTCAAAACTCAAACTATGGTCAGCCATGTGGGAGTCCAGTGCCTTAACCACCATACCACCTGCCAGCCCCCACGCCATTTATTTTCTAACATCCAGTACTATTTCCCTGTACTACTCTCAGCACTTAGTAAGCACTGAGTAATAAATGTCTGTTAAATGAATACTTCTGATAAGCTTTAAGCCAAATTAACTGGTGGCACACATTTTTAGTCTTTATTTTCTAGAAATGTAGAGGTCACTTTAATACAACTGCTCCATAAAAATACAAATACAGCTGTACATAAGAGAGGAAAATTTTCCCTTGCCATCTTTAACCCCCACTGTTGACATCACTACATATCCTTCCGAACTGTTTAGGCACAGGCAAACATGGATCCATCTCATTCTTTCTGATGGCTGTAATAACACATTTTAATCATCCTCTTCCTCTGTTGATGTGTCCTTAGGTAGCTTCTAAACAAAGCTGCAGTGAATATTATTTGTACTGTATCTTTGCCCACTTGTGTGATGTCTGAAGAACAGATTTCTAGAAGTGGACTTGTTGAATTAAAGGTTACTTTAGTAATTCAACAACCTAACAGAATTGCCTCCCTAAGGGTTAACAAGTGGTCATATGTCTTCATACTAGATAGAGCAAGCTTTCAATTCTGTGACTGTGATGGGCTAATACGCCTCATGTAGCCTTGACGCTCACTGCGGTGGAGCACCTTTCCACAGGTATCTGTCCACTGAGTTATTCACCTCTTATGAGGGCTCTTCAGGGTAAGCTCTTTGGTCTATTTCATGTGTTGCAAATACTTTTCCCTAAGGTTAAAGATTGTATTTAAGTAACTGTTTAGATATACACGCACATAATTTTTTATATACACTGTTTACTTTTGTTAAATATCTCGTTCTCTTAACAAATAATTTTATATATACACACATAATTTTTTTTTTAATTTTTTTGGAGAGATTTTCACTGTAGGGCGCGTGTGCTCGCCAGACAGACAGAGAGAGACATAGAGACAGAAAGCGAGAAATCACCCCCCAGGGGGGATGGTCATGCCGCAATCCCTTCTCCTCCATTCTCCTCTCGGGATCTTGGGCACGCACGCACACGTGCCCGGCGTGAGTTTTAAGCCACCGGGTCCGGGACACGAACCGCGGTCGACTACATGGGAGTCCAGCGACATAGCCATTACGCTAACTGCTGGTTCCCACATAATTTTTTATATACACTGTTTTCTTTTGTTAAATATCTCATTCTCTTCTTACATGGCTTTTGAGTTTTACAGCATACTTAGAAAACTCTTCCACACTTTAAGATTAAACTATGTAAAACACACACACACACACACACACACAAAACATACACAGAAAAAGAAAGAACTACTTACACATGATTTATTTCAGTACCTCTGTAGTTTCATTTATTATTATTATTATTATTATTATTATTAAACTTTTGATACATGTAGGTTTTATTTTGGCTAAAAGTGTGAGTTAAGGATTCTGGTTAGTATTTCCCCCAATGCTAGCTTACTGCTCCAAAGGCAATTACTAAAAAATTCATTCTTTCCACTTGCCTTGAACTGCTACTCTGTCATATAAACAATTCTCCATTTATTCTACAATCTATTTCTGGATACTCTATTCCATTCATCTAGCTATCTCCTGCTGTGCCAGTTTCAAATTATTTTAATGCTGTCACCTTATAATAAGTTTTCCCATTAAAGCTAGGACATTTCTCCGCTTCACTGTTTAAAACATTTCTTGACCTCCTTCCAAGCTTTACTCCTCCATAGAACTTGAAAATGACTGTCACGTCTCTAAACACAAATACAAACATACTCTAGATGGGTTTCTGATCAGGATTACATTACCTTTCTAAGTTAATGTAGAAATGGTTAAACTTTTTACAACATTAGTATTCCTTTCAATGAAAGTATTTTGATATGTTTCTTCCTAATTTTCTTCTTATTGTGAATATTTTTCACCAATAGTTTTCCTAACTGGTTGTTTTGAAAGTTAATCAGTTTTTGTATTAATTTTTAAACTAACCATCCTATTAAATTTCCCCATTATCAAATAGTTTTTAACTTGATTTCCTGAGTTTTCTAGAAATATGTCACATGTAAGTAATAATAATATTAATGCCTAATTTCCAACATTAACTATTGCTTATTTTATTCTTTTATCTAACTGTACTGGCTAACACAGCCAGAAAAATTTTATATGCTAACAGGAATAATAGGTGTCTTTGTCATTCCTGACTTTAATTGACTGCTTTAAGTGTTCCATTAATAAGACTGACACTGTTGGTCTCTTCACAGGTTAAGGGCAAATTCAGGTATTTGTGTTTACATGCTATTTTAATCAGAAATAAGATAGTGATTTAAAAAAAAAAAATCAGTCAAAATCTCCACCAGCTTATTTAATAAATTTTATCATTTGAAATAATGCTGCATTCCTGGAATGAGCCTCTTTTAACTATGACATACTTATGCATTTAATGATATGCTAGATTCCATTTGTTAATTTAGGATTTTTACCATGATATGACACTCACCTGATACTTCAAAACATCTACATTATAGTAAGAAGCAGCTGGATTTTGCTCTGATAGCTTCTTGAGGTAGACAGTAACAGCTTGCATGTTCATCCAAAAATCTTTTGTGTTGGCTTCACACTGTGATGGATCACTATATGTATAAGACATATTTTTATTACTTTATTTGACTTATCTAAATTCTTTACCTTTATATAGGAAAGGCTAGTAAAAATCAACCAAAAGGTGGAATAAGGGAAAAAATAAGATTAGGGGATAAAGAACACAGCAGAAATCTGCCTGAAATATGAGATAAAGAGATAGAGAAGAATTAGAAAATAACTATCAATACCACAAAAAAACAAAACAAAATAAGACAGCAGAAGACTGTGTAATGATAAGCAATTTCATTTGATGATAATAGTTAATGATAATCTTAAATCAGTTATTAGTAAGTACCATCTTCAAATTACATATTTTTTTAAGAATTATTTATTTCCATTTGTTATTGTTAGTTTTTTTTTTTTTTTTTTAATTTGACGAGAGAGAGAGAGAGAGAGAAAGGGAAAGTGAGAAAGCAAGCCACCAGGTAAGGGACTTGAACCATGGTTGGCCATGTTGGAATCCAGTGCCCTTATCCACCACACTACCTGCTGTCCCCTGCATATTATTTTTTCAGTGAAAAAGGAAACAATGTTCATTGAAAAGAAATTCCAACCTTCAATACAAAGTACACAAACCTGAACACGAGTTGTGCATTTGGTAGAATTTGCTCTAGTCTGCTGATGTTTTTCACCCTGAAGCATAGCACAGCTGGAGACGGATTGCTGGTGAAGACTTTAATAATTCCACTTGGAAATGATATTGTCATGTCGCCAGTGATCTTCACAATACACCTGGAATAGGGGATTTTGAAAAGTGTTTTCAAAAGATGCTTTAATCTCCATTTAAAGCATATTTGCTATAAGAAGGTATACACTACTCCTCAGTTTCCAAAGGGAACTGGTCCAATTAAAGGAGGAAGATTAGCAAGGGCAAGTTTATCCAAAAAAGAGCATATACTGATGAACTAGGAAATCCAAAGATAGGAGCAAATGAGAATATAAAGAAGTGAATGAAGATTAGTGAAATGGTGGCAGAAGTAATATATTGTAGAGATTGTGATAAGGTTGGAAAGTTGGTGGTGGTGCAGTATTAAGCAGAATAAATTAGAAAAACAGGATGTGGCTAGTAGATAAAGGGGGACTGAACTGACATTATGGAGGGGCAGCAGCATGGCTAAGGTCAGTTGAAAGACAGGATCATTGTAAGGGGCTGAAAGACTAACGGACCAGGGTATTGAAAGAACTACTTATGTGGACATCAAAATCACTAAAAATTATAATGCATGTAAAAAAAAATACAGTCTTGGCTAAATTTAGTTTCCCATCTGTATCTATACAGCTGAGTGTGAATTCAGAAAAATATAACCACACAGCCAAAATCTCAATTCAGCCCCTTCAGCATTACCTGGTAATCCTACCGCATTCATTAGTCTACTCTCTCTTCTGCTCTTTTCGTATCTTCTTTCTCCTCTAACCTGTACTAACTACTTCCCCCTACTCAAGGCTGATGACTTTGTTTTTAATTCTGTTGGAGAAATAAAATCAGAAAAGAACTTCTCCCCCCTTCCCCTGCCAAGCCTGTATCTCCTGCCTTCCTTCCTGTTTCAATGGATGACTGCCTGAACACATATAATGCCCATGAAATGCCGATCCCACCAATTCTGCAGTGGTACTCATCTTTTCTTTGTTTTAAAATGGCAACTTCTTAAATTATTATTTTATTTAACTTTATATATTTATTTGTTTATTTTTATGTACATATGTATGTATGTATGTCTCTCCAGAGACAGAGAGAAAGAAAGAAAGCTGCCAGGTTTGGGACTCAAACCACGGTCGGCCATGTGGGAGTCCAGTGCCCTTAACCATCACATCACCTGCTGGCCCCCTAAAATTGCAACTTCTGATGTGCATGTGATTGTGTACATCTTTGTTGGGCACGATATGGTTTTTTAAAGTATGTATACATTACATAATAATCAAATCAATGAAGGACTTCACTTACTGTCTCTTCCCTTTGCTGCAGGCCCAATTTTTTCCACAAATATTGGGTGTCCCACCATCATATAGATATAAAACATGATAAAGGAGGTCTTTAAAAGTTTCATGAAAAATTATTTAAAAAGGAATGGATCTCCAAATTTTTGCATTAAAATAAACTAGTACTTTAATTACATTTTCCACAAACTTTTTAGAATGCCTCATCTATTATGTTAAAAAAAAACCCTTAAACTAAAATAAATAAAACTTTCCTCTTATTTCACTATTTCATTCCTACTACCATTCCATTTCTCTGCTACCACTTAGAGTAAAACATCTTACAACAGTTGTCTACATTTGTTCTTTCCAAATATAGTTGTCTGGATCTGCCTCATCCCCTGCTCCTGAACTCCCTCCCAGTTTCATCTCCCCCATACCACTAAAATTGCTCTTGTGAAGGTCACCAGTGACCTCCACACTTTCACTTGTCAGTTTTTCTTGCCCTGTTAGCAGCACCAAATACGTTAGGTCATCGGGAAAGTCATGACATATTTTTGGTTTTCTGTGCAAAAATGGACATGACTTTCCTGATGACCCAATAGCTTTATGCCTTCCTTCCTGAAAAGATTTATTCACTCACTTTCTTGACACTGCTCTCCTTGTTTTCTCTCTTGGTGCTGTCTCAAACTCCTTTCCTGGATCAGTTTTGTCATCCTGTTTTCCACCAGATAGAACTAGGATTTAGTTTTCAAATCTCTTTTCTACCCACATATTAGGATCACTGACTTTAACTATTACATATAAACTAATGATTACCAAGTATTTTATCTCTAGCCTAGACTTAGTCCCTCAAATCCAGAATCATGTATCCCAACTATCAACTCAACATCCCCACTACGACGTTTTTTCAAAAGAGATTTTTGCCACAGGGCGAGCATGCTCTCGAGAGTCAGAGGGACAAAGCAAGAAATCACCCCCCTGGGGGACAGCCACACCGCCACTCCCTCTCCTCCAGTCTTCCCTGGGGACCCTGGCATGCGCACACATGTTCCTGGCATGAGCTCCAAGCTGCTGGGGGGTCTGGGACTCGAACAGCAGTAGACCACGTGGGAGTCTAGTGATGCGACTACTACGCATCCACTGGTCCCCTGCTAAGATGTTTTAACAAGTACTTTGAACTTAGCATTCTACTCCCTCAGCAAATCTTCACAAGTGTTTTCAAAATATATTCAGAATCTTGTTACTATTCACCACATCCTCTATTAATTCAAGCCAACATCATCTTTCACTTAGACTTCTGCAGTTAACCCTCCAGCTCTCTCTGCATCTACTCTGGCCCCTCCTGTCTATTCACCATAGAGCAGTCAGAGGATTCCTTCAAAAACATAAGTAATCTCATCACTACTCTGCTCAAAGTCTCCAATGACTTCCTGCCTGACTCACAGAGTTCCAAAATTTTTATCTTGGCCTACGATGGCCCAACTTTATTTGGTATCTCACTAGAGACATCTTCAACTCCTCTCCTTGCTCACTTCTACTGTTGGCTGTTTCCTGAACATGCCAGGCATGCTTTTACCTCAGCCCCTTATACTCATTAGTTCTCTCTTTGTGGAATGCTCAGACACCTGTATGGTTTAGTCCTCCATGTCTTTCAAATACCTGCTTAAGGGGAACCAGCAGTTAGCGTAATGGCTATGTCGCTGGACTCCCATGTAGTCGACCGCGGTTCGTGTCCCGGACCCGGTGGCTTAAAACTCACGCCGGGCGCGTGTGCGTGCGTGCCCAAGATCCCGAGAGGAGAATGGAGGAGAAGGGATTGCGGCGTGACCATCCCCCCTGGGGGGTGATTTCTCGCTTTCTGTCTCTATGTCTCTCTCTGTCTGTCTGGCAAGTGCACGCGCCCTACAGTGAAAATCTCTCAAAAAAAAAAAAATACCTGCTTAAATTAACTTCAAGAAGTTTTCCCCTGATGATTCTATATTTTCTACAGAATCTATATCTTATACAGAATTCTATATAGCCCTCTATTGTTATTCTCTATCTTTTTACACTGGCCGTGGTATATGTAAATACCCAATACATAGAGCTATCTGTTTTTGGTTTTGTTTGTAATTATTTTTTAACAAATTATTTTATTTAACTTTATTATTTACTTATTTTCATTTGACCAGAGAGTGACAGAGAGAGGGAAAAGGAAAGTGAGAAAGCAAGCCAGCAGGCCTGGGACTTGAATTGTAATCAGTCATGTAGGATTCCGGTGTCCTTCACCACCACACCACTTGTCGGCCCCTGTTTTAAATTATTGCTCAAGGGGTGTGTAATAGAAAGAGACAGAAGAGAGAGAGAACTGGAGAGAGAGCAAGCATCTTCCAACAGATATGGTCACACTACAATCCCTTTTTCTCCATTTCTCCTTCCTGTCAGGATTGTGGGTATGCATGCATATGCACCTGGTGTGTTTTTTAAAATGCTGAGGCCAAGGGACCAGCAGTTAGTGTAATGGCTATTTCGCTGGACTCCCACGTAGTCGACCGTGGTTCGAGTCCCAGACCCGGTGGCTTAAAACTCACGCCAGGTGCATGTGCATGTGTGCCCAAGATCCTGAGAGGAGAATGGAGGAGAAGGGATTGCGGCGTGGCCCTCTCTCCTGGGGGGTGATTTCTCGCTTTCTATCTCTCTATCTCTCTCTGTCTGTCTGGCGAGCACACGCGCCCTATAGCAAAAAAACCTCTTCAAAAAAAAAAAAATGCTGAGGCCAGGATTCAAATTGTTATTGGCCATGTCGGATCTGGTTCCTAGTGCACAACATTTAACTGGCATGCTATGGGACAGCCTGCTGTCTGTTTCTTTGATTATTAGTTCTTTCTCACTATAATAGAAGCTTAGGAGAAAACTTTGTTTTGTTTATGAAAGTATCCTCAGCACTTATAATAGAGTCTTACACACAGTAGCACTCCAATATCTCAAGAATGAATGTAGGCTGAAATTGAATGAACAATAATATACAGAAAAAGTAGAAATGTTCGTCCATGGAAATGTAATTCTCTTACAAGAGAGGCTAAACTAATTCTGCAAGAGTTTCATATTAAACAAGTATTCTAGGGTCTCTTGGAAACGTCACAGTTTCCCCAAAGATACACATTAGGCCACACTTCAGAATTCCATCGCCATGCAGGTCAGCTGCTAGCTGCTTCACAGATATGTCAAATAACAGGTGTGTCATACTGGTCATAAAGCCTGGCCAAGAATATGAATACACTGAAGGAAAAGTCACCAATACTGCTGATTATAGCAATTTTTAATTTAAAGACAAGCCTCAATGACTATATTAGATAGCATAAAGCAGGTAAATAAACAAACAATAGAAAACTATAACCTACACATAATATATACCTCTTAAAATTTACCAACAACCCCTCCCTCCCTGCTCCAAACACACACACACACACACACACACACACACACACACACACAAACATATATATTTTAAAAACTAACTTGGTGGGATCTGCTCCTTTAAAGTAGGCATTGACTGATTCTGTAAGGGCAACAGCCACAGGTAAGGCGTCCTGATTTCCAAGGCTGACAGGGCTAGGACCCCGTGACACACCTACAATATACACAATTCATTTGTTAAGTCCTCAGTAAGACATGTATTAAATACCAAGACAGTTAGATTGACAATGTTAGGTTGTCACAAATGACACTGTTACTGGTGTTGACGATGCTCCAAGTACAAATCTGGAGGGTAAGAAATACAGCATAAACAAACTGGAACATAATACAAAGGACAAAAAAAAAATTAGGGCGACGTATCATACTGACTTCTTTTAAATGGAAAGACACAGAATGGTTAAGGAATGTCAGAAGGAAATAGCCTTTGACTTGAAGAGCTAAAATTACTAAGACATGGCTTCAAAAACATTCAAATACCAAGTTCTTTCAGATTCTATGATCACATACCTTAAGGCATTAAATGGAAATTCTGTATTTAAGTTATTTCTATCCAAGCAGTAATGTTTCAAACACTTACTTTTATTCAAATTCTCTTTAACCTCCTCTTTGATACTTGTTTTATATTCCTACATTACCCTGCCTCAATAAATATATGATTAATAGTATTAATTTTTCAAAAAAAGCAAAATCCTTCAAATAAAGTTCACTCAGACAAGATACCTTTAGAGTTAAATCATCTAAAGATCAGAAATAAATTTAATCTATGTATGTGTTCAAAGTTTTTTTTTCAAGTTTATTCATGTATTCTTTCTAGGAGTGAGAATGAGAAAGAGATGGGGGAGAGAGACAGAGAGCCAGAGAGCCAGCACTCCCACCCTCCACCCCCAACAGGGTCTTGATACTGCAATCCACTTCCAGCCTTCAGCCAGCCCCAGATCATAGGCAAGTGTGTGTTAGGTGTATTCAGAGAGGTCTCCAGACTTGAAACTGGAACTTTTCCATGTGGGATCATCTTGCAAAGTACTGCACTTTACTGCCATGCCACTGTCTGCTTCCTTGCTCATTCATTCATTGATTCACTTACTCGCTCATTCATTCATTAACCCATTTGAGATACAGTCTCAATATGTCACACAGGCTGACCTCAAACTCCTGATCCTCCTGCCTCAGCCTCTTAAGTACCTGAGACTACAAGCACGGGCTGCAGCACCTGGCTAGGTTTTTAGTTTTTAACTTAAATGAAGTAATCACCTCAATATAGTACACTGCCTTTGGTTTTCCTGAACAAATGCACTTTTCACATGTATGCCTTACTACTCTTGCCTCTGATTTTCTGAATTCAGTGTAACACTCCATTTAACATACTTACATAATGCAATCTGGTAAAACTAAGTTAATAAGAGAGTTTGTTATAATTACCAGGTCAATAGGTATGTCTAAAATCTGAATGTATGCTTTTCTTATATAAATGCTATACAATGTTAATAACTGTTAGATATTTTTATTTCAGATGTGACTCCCTATAGTGAAAGACTGGAGTATTGCCATACCTGGAGTAGTAATTCAGATAAAAGTCACTACTCTCTTTCTCTGCCTCACAACTACACCTGAGGTCCTACAAATAGTGAGAAAAGACAGTGTATTAACTGGAAAGGCCAGGAAGATGTCATGGTATTCTAGATTTCAAGGGAATTTTGATTTAGGAGGATCTTCACATCACTGGGAAAAGTAACCCGTCCCCACAAATGACAGAATGTAAAATCCATGTGCAAATAACTCAGGGAAATAAAATTTGTTCATAAAGATCACAATAGTTACAATTTTCTAACCACTAATACGTCCTGGGATGAAAAAAATGGTGCCTCTAAACCACAGCAGTAGTCGTGCAAAGTGGGAGCTGGCGTCATGGGTGGGAAATGGGCTGGAGTAATGAAAGGACCTAAGGATGAGGCTGGAGAGTTTCTGATCCACATAAGGGCATGGGAAACCTTTAATTTTATCCTTTTGGCACTAAAAACAACTGACAACAGGCCCAAGTAGGCAATTTTTTAGAAACAAACAAACAAAAAAGATATTCTTAGTAAGGATAGATTTTGGTTTCCAATTCTGGTTTAATTGTTGCTTATTTAAACATTGTATGTTTTGAAAATGCAGAGAGTGAATCAACTTTTTGCATGAGTTAAGTAAGGTGTCCAAGAGTACCTTCCTGTAACAATCACTGGATATTTACGTAGAATTTCTTTTCACTCAGGAGTTAAAAACCAAAGACACACTCCCAACTCTCTCCTAATTCTGTGCTTAAAACTCCACCTCACTATCTGTAGAGATTTGCGAGGACAGCCTTTACTCTGGTAGTTCAGATATAACTTTTAAAACTTGACATTCTTCCTTCCTATTTCCTAATCACTTTTTCCTTTGATTCTGATAGCTTTATAGTTAATACTGATACCTCTTGGGTGAGGAGAACAGGAAAGAAATGCAAAAATATTCTATTTTTTATAATTGGGGATTTGATATCAATGGATTCTGTACAACTGGACATAATTAGCACAAAATTGAGATAGTTAATCTTAGCATTATTCTTAATTTCTGAGACATATATTATTGCTGGAAAAGGAAAACTGAGGTAACAAAGTATTTTAGATACACTTAGGATCATTAGTCAACACAGACATTCGCTACTGATACAATACCTGGTGATGTCTCACAGTGCTTTTCAATTTCAGAGAGTGTCCCAATCAAATTATCATCTTCTACCATATTTAAATAAAACAAAATATTGTAGGAAAAATATTTTCAAGAAACAAGGAGTATCAAAAATTTAAATATAAACTGAAAGCTAAATAAGCATCATGATAAAGAGAACTTTTTAGGCAGATTTGAAAAACCTCAGTGTACAAAATCTACACAGCACTTGCCTTGGTTATCTCAACACAATCACCTACTCTGGGCCCTCCTACTGCCAGCACTGGCTTGAATAATAAACAAACATGTGCCAATGTGATCAAAATTAAAGTTTCCATTGCAAACAGAAAATATTCTGAATAATCTAAAGACAACAGAAAATAACTAAAACTTATTTCGGTTGCCCAGACCACCTGCCTGACTTCTAGTAGGACCCATCTATAGTTTTTATGACCAGAATATAGATATTATGGAAACCCAAATTAACAAAACCATATATACAAGTGAACAAACAAAAATGAAGTATTCATTAAACCAAACAACAGGATAAATTTATTAGATACATTCAGTTTACATAAAGTTGAGAAATGAGGAAAATGCTATACTTACAAAGATACATAAAATAGTGACTCCATATTTGGACTATATTATTAGTGCTATTTTTTTTTTTTTTTGGGAGGGTTTTTGCTATAGGGCGCGTGCGTTTGCCAGACAGAGACAGACAGAGAGACAGAAAGTGAGAAATCATCCCCCAGGGGGGATGGCCACGCCGCAATCCCTTCTCCTCCATTCTCCTCTCAGGGTCTTGGGCACTCATGCACACGCGCCCGGCGTGAGTTTAAGTCACCGGGTCCAGGACGCGAACCACGGTCAACTACGTGGGAGTCCAGCGACATAGCCATTATGCTAATTGCTGGTCCCATTAGTGCTATTTTTATAATGACAATGCACTCAAGATGCATCTCTCCTATGTGAGTTAGACAAATTAAACTGAATCTAATTAAATCAGCTTAATTAAGGCTGTGGTTCTTAAACAGTATGCATCACAATCACCTGGAAAGCTTATTAAAAGATTGCTAGCCCCAAGGCCTGCAAGTGGCATGGCGTTACGGCACTGGCCGGCACTGGATTCCCACATGGCCAACCAAGGTTTGAGTCTTGGACCTGCCAGTTTGAGGGTCACACCAGGTGTATGTGTATGCATACCCCAAATCCCAAGAGTACAATGGAGAAGGATCTGCAACATGGCTATTCCCCCCTAGGAGGTGATTTCTCACTTTCCCTCTCTCTGCCTCTCTGGCAAGTGCACAAATCCTATGGCAAAAACCTAAAAAAAGAAAAGATTGTGAGCCCCAATTCCAGAGTTCCTAATTTTATAAAATCTACATTTCTAATAAGACTCCAGGTGAAGCAGATGCTGCACGTCCAAGGCACCAGGTTTGGAGCACTATGGAATTAGAGCTCAGCTAGCACAAATCATTTGTCATCAAGGATAAACCACAGCATCTAGAAAGAGCAGCAATAGGGAGTTATAATTTTGATGACAAGGTATTTGTCACCAAAATACCTGCTTTCAGTGGCTTTGTACTTTATTATACTAAAAATGAGTGAGAAAGGTACTAAGAATCTGTAGGAAGAACTGAGTAAAGGTGGTGGAAAAAAAAAACAAAACTGTTGAGTAAAATCCAGATGTATTAGTGGTAAAATATTAAATTTCTTTGGTGATGTTTAAGTCTACATAGTTATGCCCTAATACATATTTTTATATCTTTATAATGTAAGTTCCTGTGGAAAAATATAATTCAAGCATACACACACAAAATTCCTTATTTAATTGAACCAATTGTTTTCTAAACACTTTGTAGCAGGGAAAAAAATGTATTCTGCCTTCAATTCTTTATATTGATAAGCAGCTTATAAATCTGACTCATGGTTTTAACAGTGCTAACCATGGTTAAAATTCTTCTATCCATATAATGCACACTGTAAAATAAAAAAGAAATATGTGGGTTCAGTAGGTGGCATGCACATTAAGGTGGCTGGAGCCCACATGGCCAACCCCACTGTTCAAATCTCAGACCTGGCAGCCTGAAGGTCACATTGGGTGCGTGTGCATGCGTGCCCAAAGTCCCAAGAGAATAACGAAGGAGAAGCGACTGCAGGATGGCCAACCCTCCCGGGAGGTGATTTCTCACTTTCTCTCTCTGTCTCTCTGGTGAGCATGTGTACCTTATGGGAAAAATCTGAAAAAGAAAAATGTGTGGCCAATTTGATAATGCCAGAGTTATTTCTGGAAAAACAGAATTTCAATTGTTATATTTTTTACTAGCTCATTTAACTACTGGGTCATCGAGAAAGTCATGACACATTTTTGCATAGGAAAATACATCATAATTTCCTGATGACCTAATATATAAAAAACTGATGAGACTTTATATGCCAATATGTAATCAATGATAACCACTTACCTACTGTCGGAGTATTGGCAGCACTCAATGAAGCAGATGAGGAGATAGAGGAAGAACTTTCTGCCCTGGCTAAAGGAGCGGCAGGAGGTGGGCTGGTGTTGGAAGTTACAGGTGGGCTGAATGGCCTGGGCTTGAAAACAAAAAGTTACTTATCAAAATGCTAAAGCAATTCCTCACTTGTCAGAGAAGATTTCCATCAGATAAGTTTAATATACCAAACCAAATTCACTGTTTTAGGTTTCTGTAACTCAAAGTCAGAGATGTAACAGGTCAAATCATTTTCAACAATATATACTAAATGCTGAAAAGGTTAAGTTAAAATAATGCTGTCAAGAGTTTTTTGTGCATAAAACACTTTCTGTATTTCAAAACCTATGCTTAAAGTAGATTCTCATCAGTAAAATGATTAGTTCAAGCAGTATGAAGACTCTTCATACAATCAAACTGTTTCCCAAAAGCTAGTGTGAAACTGTTCCTACTGTTTATAAGTACATGAGAATATTTCTCTGCAGCCTCGCCAACAATGAACAGATGAATAAAAGAAGTAAAAACAATAATTTAAGTAATAATTTAAATAACCTAAAAATTCCTAGCTAATTTTATAGACAAAAAAATCAACATTTTTGTTTTTATGGTCTGATGTAATTTTGGGAGGTCTTAGTATTACTTGAACTTTCTCTAACCACTTGCTTTATTGGTTGGAAATCTTTTCCTCAAATATTCTTGCCATTTACTTCTGATATTTACAAATCTATCCATATTTTCCTTTGTTTTTTAAAATATAGTCTCATGATGTCGAGATCCTCCTGCCTCAGTCTCCCAGATGGAACTACAGGTCCGCACTATCACACTCAGTTCTTTTTTAGACAGGTTCTTGCTAAGGTCAAACCCTCACTTGTGATCCTTCTGTCTCAGCATCCTGAGTCTCTGGGATTACATTACATTACAGGTCCATGCCATGGCACCCCACCTTTAGGGTGAATTAAGAAACTGAACCCAGGGCTCCCATATGGTTCCAGCCTGTGGAGCACAGCATTTTAGCAAAGTGAGTCACCATGCGGGGCCCACATTTTCTGCTGTCATTCCTTGTGATGCTCTCTCACTGAGAAAGCTCACCTCATATACAGGTTTGAGTAAGATCCTAATTTTGTTGTCTTCCCATTTCTCTGTTAAACATTTTTTTTAAATGACAAATATAACTGTTTATCTTTTACTGTGGCAAATGATTTTGTTCCATTCCTTATTGTTCCAATAATACATTAATAAAGGTCTTCAAGTGTCTCATTTTTTTTAAAATAAGGCATATTTATCTTAATTTAAATATTTGAAATTTAACATCTTTATGAATTATTTATTAATGTCCCTTTATGGACATTTCCAAAATATTCTCAAGTAAACAATAAATTAAAAATAGGTAAGATATGAATTTTTATTTTAAAATATACACAGACCATTCATATTAATTTCTGGAGCAACTACTTGCATTTGACAATGTTCTAAGTGTTTTACACACATTAACTGATTTAAGTTTCACGATCACCTACTATCACTGTACTCACTTTACATGAAGAAATCGAAACTTTGAATAACTAACTTGCCTAAGTTTGTTCAGCTAATACATGGCTAAAAAGCTTTCACTTTTAACAACTGTATTTTATTACTTCTGAGTAAATAAATACTATGTACTTAAATAAAAAGAATATATATTAAAATGTTAATTAACAGTAGTTATCTTGAGTGGTAAAATTCAGAGGGGGTTTTAAATTTTCTTTTTGTTTTCTGTGTTTTCCCAATTTTACAACTCAAATATGCATTGTTTTTTAATCAAGAAAGAAAACCAAGTTATTAAAACGTAGTGATGTTTAAATAACTTAAATAGTAACCATTTCTTGAGTAGATGTACTGAGTCTTTCATTTCACTTCTGTTACGTCTGATAAAAAACATGTCACCATTTCAAACCCTGATGCTCAACTCTTTTCATTTACTCACCAAATATTTCCTAAATATGTACCACGTGACAGGTATTTGTTTAAAAGTACAGAGGGTATAAAACTGGACATATTTCAATGAGGGAAATATACACAAAGGATGTATATACGCTGTGATAAGCACACTAACAGAAATATCAGCAAAGTATTTAAGAGAATGAGTAAATCCACTGGAGAAGGAATGACAGAATAATCAAAGAGGAAAAGGGTTTCCACAAGTGGGTCTAGAAGAGGTCAATTTGCTACCTAATCAACTACGGGGCGTTTTAGATAGAGAAGAACACAGTAAGATGACACAGCTAGATAAACGAGCATGATATGCTTGGAGAACACTAGCAGATTTGATGGCTAGAACCTAGATTTGAAAGAGGACAAAGTTGTACAGTTACTCTCATAACACAGGTTGTTGAGGCAACTTTATGAAGAGTCTTGCACATTCAGTTAAAACATTCTACCACACGATTATGGAGAACCACCGGAGATGTGTATCAAGTGAATAAACAGTATTAAGCTTGACTTTCAGAAATTTAATTCAGGCAATTAAACTGGTGACTAGTATGGAAGATGAAGCAAAGAAGAACAGATTGGTGGCAAGAAGAACCTCATTCTGAACAGGTTTCTCCTTATCTGACAACTTTTGAAAGCCAATGCCTTCTCCTCTTCCCCCATAACACTATGTACTTTGATGGGGACTCCAATTTCCTTATGCATAAAATAAAGTTGAACTAGATACCCTCTAAGACCTCCTGGCAGCATACTTCTAAGGCCCAAGAACAGGCAACCGTTTACTTTAAGCAGAATAATCTGAAGACTGCTTCTTCATGGTGAGAGAATGGGTACTGAATGGTACTTCTGTAATGCACCAACTTTCTCAGGAAATCTCTCTCCTGGAAAATGTCTTATTCCACAGGATAGTTGAGGTAATAATGGAGAATGAAGGAGTGTCACTTGGGAAAAATTTTCTATACTTTAAGGACTCAAGTAGAAAACTTCAAGCACTTAACTTCAAGACATATTAAAGATATTTGCATCTTAAATCAAAACAATTTATAATTAAAAACAAACAAAAAAACCACCTGAGTACATACTATTTCATTAATCCCACTGAGTTTGCCTGAAGTAAGCTTTGGTCTGGAAGCAGGCCTCGGAGGTGGAACAATGGTGCCTACAGAAAGAGGAGTTGTGGGCCTGGCTGGTGGCGGGGTGGGGAAAAGAGAATATGAAGAAAATCATTAGTATGTATCGATCTTTACATAAAGATATCCTATTAAAGGAACCTTTAGGATACGAAGCTAATTTTTCAGGAGTTTTTTTTGTTTGTTTTGTTTTAAAAGAATTGCTACTACATTTATTTGGTGAAATATTAGGAATCTATTTGTAAAATACAAGCTACCAATAATATTCCTGGGAAAAAAATACAAGTTAATCTCACAATAAAACTGACATACACCATGTTTCAATTATTTATATATATAAAAATTAAGTCTGGTAAATTAGCCAACAAAAATAAACCAACTTAAGACCAAAGGCTTTTAGTTTATTGCCAATACATCTACTTTAGAGAGAGTAATTCAAGAACAAGTTGCTGAACCCGTGCCTTCAGAATAACATGAATGCTAAATAAAGAATTTACCTTAAACTCATTAATCTGAACTTTTTTTTTAGAGAGAGATTTTTGATATGGGGCGTGTACGCTTGCCAGAGAGACAGAAAGCAAGAAATCACTCCCCGGAGGGATGTCCATACTGCAATCCCTTCTCCTCCATTCTCCTCTTGGGATTTTGGGCATTCACACACACAAACCTGGCATGAGTTTTCAAGCTACTGGGTCTAGGACTCAAACCATGGTTGGCCATGTGGGAGTCCAGCAATGTAACCATTATGCCACCTGCTCATCCCTCATCTGAACTTTAAGTTAAACCACAGTGTAACATTTTTTAGATAATTAAAACATATTAAAAATATTCTATAATTTATTTTTAAAATTTCCCCAATTCAGTACAACTAATTTTGGTAAGTGTTCAAAATGATAACTTTTCCTAAATCCTATATAAGCTTAGTGCTCACTGTTTTTCAATGCCATTTGCAATTTTTGTAATTTTACACATTAGAAATACTATTCGTAATTTAAAATAATCTATGATAGAAATAATGAAATTCAATTGTATGTCATCAAAAGTTACAAACGTATTAGCATAATCAAAGCGAGAGTGAGAAATAGAAGCAATATGTTTAAATCATCTTTAAATAAATTAATTAAAATAATTTCAAAGCACTTTGGTTCACTCTAAAATATGGGCAATAATTCAGAGACTGAAAAATATAATAGATGGTAAGAAATATATCTGGCAAGTTATCTAAGTTTACAGATGTACAAAATTAAAAACATGTAAATAAACCTAAGTATATATACACAGGGGATACAGAGTAAAGCTGAAGGCCCTCGATTATCAATGGAAGAGTAGAGGCATGAACGGAAAGGACACGGAGGAGCAGGAAGAGAATAAAGAAAAGAGTGGTCACATAAGATGGAAAGAAAATGCACAGAGGTTAGGGAATCATCTAGAAAGCGTGTCATATGAAGGGGTAAAGGGTCGCAAGCAAGTTCAGGTTCCCTAAAGAAGACAGTACAAAGCTGGTAAGAAATTAAGTTTAGCTTCTGAGGCTGCTGTCTTCTTATCAGCACCAGTTCTTTGACACTGTACACACTTCAAGCTACACATAAAGGACCACGACACTTCTTTGAGCTATGACTTATCTGTGTTAAAGATGTGCTCATTATCAATGAAACCAAGACTGACTTAGACTCAGGTTATTCTTTAAGGAAAGAAAGTATTTATTTTTAAAGAGATTTTTGTTATAGGCCACATGCACTCACAGGAGAGACAGAGAGAGACCAAGAGACAGAAAGTGAGAAATGAGCCCCTAGGGGGTATGACCATGCTGCACGTCTTCTCCTCCAGTTTCCTCTCAGGATTTTGCCATAGGGCAGATGCCACCACGTCCTCCTCTCAGGATTTTGGGCATGTATGCACATGTACCCAATGTGAGGTTTAAGCCACTGGGCCTGGGACTCGAACCTCAGTTGACTATGTGGGGAGTCCAGTGACATTACCAGTATTCCACCTGCTGGTCCCAATATTTATTTATTTATTTATTGTGATTTACAAGTCACCAGGTCCAGGACTCGAATTGCAGTTGGCCATCCTGTTGGTCCCAATATTTATTTATTTATTTATTGTGATTTACAAGTCACCAGGTCCAGGACTAGAATAGCAGTTGGCCATGTGGGAATCCAGTGCCTTAACTACATGCCACCTGCTGATCTTGACTCAGGTTATTTCAAACTTGTGATTGCTTAACACAGCAGAGGCTTTTATAAAGCTTCATTTACGGACATGGGGCCAGTCCGAATGGCATTTAGATTAACTCAAACCAAGTCTGGTAGATATGTATAGTTCCTTCTAACAATCAGAATTTACTTTCCGAGGAAAGCTAATAACAGTATTTATTAATATCACAATTTATGATGTATAATAATGTATATATCTGCACGTATCAATTAGTCATGCTCCTAGAGGCCTCTGGAGGATATTATTACAACTATTTACATGCTTGAGTGTTCTAACTGTCTTTTGTTACCAGTGTGGTAGTGGAGCTCACTGCCACAAATGTCTATTACATGCAGTGTTTCAAGTAATACTACATGACCTGTAAAGTACAAAAACATAGGATATAAGAGCTAATTTGTATCAACTCTTAAACATTAACTAAAGGGAATAGATAACATAAGTTTGCCATGCTATTCTTTATCTGAACAAAGGCAGAGACTAATCTATAAACCAGAAGCAAGAAGACAATGTAGAAGAAATGGCAGCAGATTACTGGCTTCTTCTGTCAGTAATATTTTGGGATACATATTATAGAAATGGTTACTTTAATCCCCAGAAATGCAGTTATTGGAAAACATCCATCCAAAGCATCAGAAAATTGTGAAAGAATGCAATCTCTGGAATGTCTTCTGAGCTTGCTAGAGTTATTAACTGTAGCAAGTTCATCAGTAAAGACAATCCACTGACTTTGGGACCACAAGGCAAAAAAGAAAAACCAAACTTATCTGTGGTATCTGGGTGCTGTTATAGCAGGAAAGAATAGACAGGTAGGGAAAAGTCTGGTGATGGGCTTTCTACATCGAGAGTATGACCCAGTTTCAAGTAAATTTTCAAGAATTATCATATCCTCAAGCAAATTAGTGGGAGAGGAAATGAAATTCCTATTCTGCTCTTAAAAGTCAGCTGAATTAGAAGAAAACAACTGAAAATTACAAACAACAGGAAAATTCTGGAATTGAAATAGGAATTCATATAGCCAAACAGTTCTCTCTGCTTCAGTTAAATGTTAATATGAAACTAAAAAAAAATTAACACTACATGGAACAAGAGCATGAGCATGAGTTCAAATGTTATATTAACTGAGGAAAACAAGTATGAACATGAAAAAAATTGAAGGTACAAAATTTTATAGAGCCAAAATTATTCCTGCTCTCTCAGAGAAGCAAAGGTAACTTTAACAGTCAGTACAGGCTGAAAAGAAATGGCGAGCTGGCAAAGTGACTGTGCTGTGCATGTATGGTACTCAACAAACTGAGCAGTCAGCAACGAAACTGTCATACAAGGATGACTTTAAGGGATTTTTGGCAGAGTGCAATTCACCCAATCTATGGGCAGTGAAGAAAAATGGTCTACACAGGCCCTTATATGAAGGTCTATACCTATTTATATTTCAAATAAACATAAATGTTCATTTACAGACTTCACAGTACAAGATGGAGCTGAGCTACTTTTCAGCTGAGCATTAAGTATCATTGTAGAACATGTAACAACATTGGGAGGCTTAACATTATCAATTATTAACACTAACTGACTGCTTGGAATTATTTACTTAGACTGCTTCAGCTAAAATGAGATTATTGAGAAATTAAGATTCTAAAAGAGACAAAAGAAAATTAAATAATCTCAAAATGTGGACCTAGTTAACATGTGGAAATGTGTATCTAAGTGGAGAATTTTAAGATGGAGGAGCACTGTCCTACAAAAAGTGGTGGAATCGGGGCTGGCAGGTGACATGGTGGTTAAGAGCTCTGGACTCCCACATGCCCAACTGCGGTTTGAGTCCCGGATCTGGTGGCTTGCTTTCTCACTTTCTCTCTCTTTTTCAATCTGTCCCTCTCTGGTCAAATTAAAATAAATAAATAAAGTTAAATAAATAATTCTTTTTTAAAAAGTGGTCGAACAAAATTTAAGACAAGATGCACTTCACAATTTCATTTAGGGACAATTTTGTAAAACATGAGAGTCACAATACTGATCAATAACTGTACCGTGCTAAAGACTTAATAATAATTAATTAATAATTAATAACAATTATAGAATAATTATCCATTTGGGGCATCAATAACATTTTTGAAGTGCAAAATAATGTATTACATTACATTTCATACTCTATAGGAAGGCTAACAATGCATACTGAAATGAATGGAAAAGCAGCAAAAGGTTAATAAACTTTTTATCATTTCCTAGCTGCTAAACATCAAATGACCACTGAATTAAATGAATCATTTTTCATTCATCCAAAGTGAAGGTGTTAAAGGGTGAAACATTCTTTAGATGGGTAGCAAGAAGAAAAGAAACAACTTTTTTGAAAAGGAAGAGACTGTACTAAAGAAAATAACAAGAAACAATGCACAAAATTGTGAAGAAATTCCTTTCTTCTTTTTTTTTCCCCCTTCAATTTTGCTATAGGGCATGTACGGTCACCAGAGAGGGAAGGAAATAAATCACCCCTCAAAGGAGTATGGCCACATTTCAATCCCTTCTCCTCCAGTCACCTCTCAGGATTTGGGGCATGCAGGACTGTGGTGTGGCCATCCCCCCTGGGGGGTGATCTCTCTGTCTCTATAATGAGCACATGCGCCCTACAGAAAAAAAAAAAAAAAAAAGAGAAAAAGTAATGTCACTTCAGAAGGTATATGTTCAATTCTCTTAATGATTGTTTCTTGCTGTTTTGTATTAGGTACAGATTACCTTCCCTTCAAAATGCCAAATAGTGCCTAGGGTTAAGGTTTCCTGTAATCCATTTGTAGTTTCTTTTAAAAATGTTCAGTCTCTAAACAGTCTAATTTGAAATGCTAATGTTTATTTTACTGTTAATAGCAAAATGTTTCAGTATGACTTTTTGATGTTCTTGTTAATCTGCCAGACCATGATAGCTACAACAATGATTTCAGAGTAAGATCCAGGTTTGAACTGTGTCTCCTCCATTTCCCAGCTACGTAATCTTGGAGAAGTCACTTATTATTTCTCGATCTTACTTTTTCCATCTACAAAATAGGGACCATAAAGAGGACTTCATGCAGTGGTTAATGTAGTAAAATTAAATAGAAGTGCACAGCTACTTGCAGAGTGACAAGCATGAACTCAGCGGATGTCTCTCCACATGCTTCTAGCACTCCTTTAACCCCAAATACTGGATGGCAATTCTGAGATTCCAAAGAAGGTAGAAGTTCAAATTAAAATGATTTTAGTATCTTGTTTTGAACAAGCAGTGGTTTTGTTAAATATGCATCTTGATGTCTTTTTTTATATCTGGCTAATGAGAATTTTTGTATTTCAAGATAAAGGGAAACTTAACATATTCTTGTCAAAGAAGCAACTGAAAAGCATTCTCTAAGCTCTTTTATACATTGCTTGAGACATGTTAAAGTCTTTCTGGAAAACTGTATGGCAATGTATCACAATGGGTATAATCTGTGACCATACATTTTATATTGATAAATTATTACAGAAAAGATTATAAGATATGTACACACATGGGTTATTTCCATGGACGTTCATAAAACACAAAATTAGATGCAACTTGAATATCCATCAAAAGAGAATTGATGGGAACCAGCAGTTAGCGTAATGGCTATGTCGCTGGACTCCCACGTAGTCGACCGCGGTTCGTGTCCCGGACCCGGTGGCTTAAAACTCATGCCAGGCGCGTGTGCGTGCGTGCCCAAGATCCCGAGAGGAGAATGGAGGAGAAGGGATTGCGGCGTGACCATTCCCCTGGGGGGTGATTTCTTGCTTTCTGTCTCTATGTCTCTCTCTGTCTGTCTGGCGAGCGCACGCGCCCTACAGTGAAAATCTCTCCAAAAAAAAAAAAAAAAAGAATTGATTAATGCATACCTATACATTTTAACCTAGTATCTATAAAAGATAGGCATTATTAATTGGACATACCTAAGCATCTGAATTATCTATAAACAATAAGAATTATTACTGGGACTAGCAGATGGCATAATGGTCACATTGTTAGACTCCCGTGTAGTAGACTGTGGTTCGAGTCCCAGAGCCAGGGCTTGAAACTCATGTTGGGTCCATGTGCGTATGTGCCAGAAACCCCAAGAGAGAATGGAGGAAAAGGGAATGTGGCATGGCCATGTCCCCTGGCTGGTGATTTCTTGTTTTCTATCTCTGTCTCTCTTTGTCTTTCTGGCAAGCGCATGTACCCTATAACAAAAATCTCTCTTAAAAAAAAAAAAAAGAATTATTACCACGGTAATAATGAAACAATGCCTAGAAATAAATACATCAATTTGGAAAACAACCTCTTGATAAATTTTTATTGGTTAAGCCATAGAGTCTTGAAACTAAGTTAACAAAACTTTATAAAATCACTTTTATCTGGTAAAATTATCAGAGGACAAGTTAAAAAAAGTTATTATTATGTACAACACAAAAGTGATAAATAAGTCAATCAGGAAACAGTAACTACTGTATTCCTCAGTTTAAAAAAAAAAATAAAAAACACATTTACCTGATGATGATGAAGTTAGTGAAGTTGAAGATGAATCAAGAGATGGTCCAAAGAGAGGATCCCAAGCAAGTAAATCACTGGTCCCTTTTCTACAATAATGTTTAAAAAAAGAATTTTAACAAAAGAATATTTTAATTTTATTAGTATAAAATCTAATCACTTATCTTTATTTCATAGAATTCTAACAGCTCAATATACATGATTAAAAAGTTGGATACAATGCCAATGGTATTGTAAAGAAATTTAGTTAAGAGATGTAATAAACCACTGTTCACTGTTATAAGAAGTACTTATAATACTAGTATGTTAAGTTGGGAATAATTGTGGCTTTTCAAATAAAGAATGAACAAAGAGTTTAAATGAACTACCCAAAGACACACAACAACTTGATTCTAAAACAGTCTCAGATCCACTGACGTATACCTAGCACCTAGTCTTGGACAGAAAATTTAAGTGATTTGAGACTAGGTAGAAATTTTATAAAGCCATACTTATTTTCAAGGATGAAGAAAACGGGTAAAGGAGTGGGGTTTTGTTTTGTTCTTTTTTTTTTAAAGAAAATCCTTCTTAAGTCTGAAAGGTAGCTTAAATATTTTAATGGTATGAAACTGCCAGTATTATGATTTTGTTTGTTTAAAAGACTGAGAGTATGTATGTCTGCTAGAGAGACATAGAGAGGGAGAGGGAGAAAGCACCTTCTAGTGGGGCGTGGTTATGCTGCAACCCTTCTACTCCATTTCTCCTTCCTGTTGTTACTGTGAGCATGCAAGCACAAACACATACTCTGTGTGTTTTCTTTTTGTAGAGGTTTTTGCCTTAGGGCACATGCGCTTGCCAGAGAGAGAGAGAGAGATAGAGACAGTGATAAGGAAAGTGAGAAATCACCCCCCAGGGTGGATGGCCTCACTACAATCCATTCTCCTCCTGGGATTTTGGGGCATGCATGCACACATGCCTGGCATCAGTCTCAAGCTACTGGGTCCGGGATTTAACTGCAGCCGACCATATAGGAGTCCAGCAACGTATCTGCTATGCCATTTGCTGCCTCCCCACCCTCATATTTTTCAAGTTACCAGGTTAGGATTTGTACCACGTAGTAGGCCGCATGGGCTCTAGCTCCCTTAACCATTAGGCCATGAGACTGACCCAAATCTGACATTATCTTTAAAAATATTTTTTTTAATCTTAAAGTAGCCATACAATAATGAAAATGTTAAAATGTTACAATTATCTAAAAATACATACCAAGTATCTCAACATGTACCTACATAGAAGCACTTTCCACGTCGTATGATAAAGTCTAGCATTCCAACTGCATAAATTATTCCTGCTAAGTTTTAAAACACTTAGCAACTTATTTTTAAAAATGATAAATCCAACAATTCTGCTCAACTGGTGCCTTGGAAGTATTAGGCTGTTGCAAAAGCAACTGCAGTTTCAGACCATTAATTTTAAATCATTATAACTAGGCTCAAACACATCTTTATAAACCGAAATAAGAAACATTTCAATCAACACATTTTTGTTGGGTGGGGGAGTAAGAAAGCACCCCACATGGGGGATGGACACAGTTCGATCCCTTCTCCTCCATTTCTTCCTCCTTTTGAGAGTCTAAGCATACACATGTTTTTCAAGCTGCTGGGTCTGGGACTTGAATCATGAGACTGGCCAAGTGGGATCCAGTTGCTTTAAGCACCACATTACCAGCTGGCCCATATTCTTTCTTTTCAACTTAACTGAGACACTGCTTCATTTTGAAGTTTGGGAATTATACAGTCCATTATTCAAGGGTACAGTTAAAACTTAAGGAGGAAATGAGAAAACTGCCATGAGAATAACTGACAATATATATAAATGATGAGATACCATCATTTATATAAAAGCAGTGAGGTTCCAAAGCCAACTTTAGTTGAATGAACTAAAAAAAAAAAAAAAAAAAAAAAAATCATAAGGAAAAATTTCAAGTGAGAAATCATTTAAAACATCTAAAAACTCCAACATGGTATTTCGCAGTTCAGAAAACCGGGTGATCAATAGCACTTTACTAGAATTGAAAATAGAGAGGTAAGAAGCCTCTCTAGAAAAAAAGGATAAAAGAAGGATTTTAAATTTATAATTTAAATGTGGCAAGGAGGAAGGGGCTGAATGGCAGAGCAACTTCAGAGCAGTGTATACATGACATTATATTTTTGTCAAAACCCACAGAATGTACAAAAGCCAAAAGAGAGCCCTAATGTAATCTATGGGTAATTATGATGTATCAATGTAGGTTCACCTGTTGTTACAAATCTACCAGTCTGGTGAAGATTTTTTATTGTGAGGGAGGCTGGGCATATCATAGAGCAGATATCTATACCTTCTGCTCAACTTTGCTGCGTCCCTAAAACTGCTCTCGAATACAAAATACTTTATTAAAAAAAAAAAAAGAAACATGGAACTTACTCATTGGGTGGAACAGATGGCTTTGATTTTGTTAACTCCTCATCTAATTAAAAAATTAAAATATTATAAAAAATTTATAACCTGAGAAATAAAATATTTTAATGAAAAGAAAAAAACATATACATATCTTAATACTATGATCAATTTAAATATTTTGGAACTGATAACAGAAAATTATAAATAAAAATAAATAAATTTTTAACAAATTTTCTATCATACATATTAAAATAAAAGCTGAATTTCTTCTAAGTCTTGATTTTTTTTTTTGCTAGTCTCTGGTAAGAAATTACTTAAGTCAACTAAACTATAATATTCATTAAAATGAAACTGCTGTTTAAAAGAGAGCATATATGGACTGCAACTTTAAAATTGAGAAGAAATATTTAAATGCTTACATAAATTTTACTCGAGAATCTTAACGGATGAATCATGGAAGTATTGTTGAAGTTTTAAGACTATCAGTGATCACAACATTAACCGAAAGTAGTTATTAACTCTCAAAGGAAGTACTATTTTGAAGCATAAATTTTTTTGAGCAACTTGAAGCAAGAGTCTTCTTTCTTCATTAAAGTGTGTTTTGCTACCTTTTTTTGTTTGTAACATGACTTATTTCATAAGCAACTGGTGAACAGGAAAACAGCATCACTAATGCAGAGGTCATGTTGGTGCATAAGCAGTTCTCCCTGCACCTTAATGCCCTATCACCAAGCAGTGAGAGCTGATGAATGCACAGTACATCCAAATGGGTGATGCAGAAACTGCAGGTGTACAGTGAGGGGAGTACACGCTGTTCATGATGCCTGATACCCACCCACATGACATTCTTCCATTTGGCTGTTTGGTTGGTTTTTCAGCTTCAAAGTGCATATTGCGACGCTCTCCATCTTTCTGCATTTTGCCTTTATATCCATAACTCAGTAGCCTCGATGTATTCTCATTTTCCTTACACTCCCTATCATCAAGCTACCATCAACATTTTTTTAGAGGTAAAATTCTTACTTTTATTTTGGCATTTAATATAAACTTAATGGGTCTTTCAAATTATGCTAAAACTTACATCAGGGTAGATACTACAATTCTGCTCAGTGTTCTGTTTACAAATTACACAGCTTTCAAATGGGCTGCCTCAATTCTATTCTAACCACAACGCTTGTTATTGTTAATGTGTGATTCGGCAAAGGGTGTTAACACCTTAAAAAAGCTTTCGGTATAATTAAGTTACTATATTCAAAGACATATAATAGGAATTGCAATTATGCTATGACTTAAAAATAGGTAAAGCTAACAGATTACTCATCTTATAAATGCCTACTGGCTCATGAGACTGAGTATGCCAGTGAAAAACAGTTCAATATTCTTTTTTTTTTCCCTAATTTGCCAGAGGACATGGGCACTGTCAGAGAGGGACAGAGAGAGAGACAAGGAGAGGGAGAAAGCAACCCCCCAATGGGATGTGGTCACACTGAAACCCTTTCTCCTCCATTTCACTATCCTGTCAAGATTTGGGGCCCAGCATGTTTTTCAAGCCACCAGGTCAGGGATTCAATCTACATGGTTAGCCATGTGGGATCTGACTCCCTTAACCACTAGGCCTCAATTCTATTCTTGGGGTTGGCCATGTGGTCGATCCTATTTTAGCATTTTTAATCAGAAGTGAATCTTAGGCTTTGCTGAATTCTGAAAAATGTTGTAACCATATATTAAAGTTTATGGCATGTTTCTCAGAGCTACCAGAAAAAATACAGGTAAGTTATTTTCTCTTTAAAATAAGTATCCTTATCAGTCATTAAGGATCAATGATGAGAAAAGACCATTTATATCTATAGCTAAAAAAGGCATCAACTACAAGACTAACAAATTGCCTAATTAGATTTAATAGAAATAAAATAACCAGTTCAAATACCAAACTTACTTGATAAATTCCGATTCATCTGTACCTAAAACAGAAATGCAAAAACTAAATAAGCATCATTGAACAAATAATTTAACTTAGTAATAAAGTATTTGGCAAAATGTTAACACTGGGATCCTAATTTTAAGTTTTTCTTTTAGTAAATTTGCTCAACTGTAAACTTTATTTACATAAAAGATATGTAGGAAAAAATTTCAGTAGTTTTTGTTTTATAATAAAAAATAATACATGTACCTTTACGCCCCAATAAAATATTTTTAAAGGTTTAAAACAATATCCATAGCAGGGCACTATAACTTGCCAATATAAATAATTTAATATAAAAAAGAAATAACACAAACATCTGAAAATCAATGTTCAAATATTACAATCTTTTTTTAAGTCAATAGGCAAAAACATAAAATATTACACTTACTGGACTGTGTCTCTAGTAGCACATGAAAAGAAAAAGAAAGACAGACATAGTGTTCAGTATATAACTTAAAATATTATATTTTCTTGTTATAATAGCTTGTCTATTTTCTTTGGAATCATACCTAAATACAGACACCTTAACAAACATACATTGTTGGGGGGAAAGTTTTTGCTAGAAAAACAAATTGAATTGAGCAAGAAAACAAAATCAAAGTTACCCTCTTTTCAAATCCAGTGTTAATTAAAATTGTTCTGATTATTTATTGTCTGAGTGTGAAAATAATACATGCTGTTTTAAAAACAAATAGAAAAGAGAGAGAAAAAAAAACACATAAGAGTACACTTAAATTATCTGTGATCTTACTACCCACACAGAAATGCTTAGCATTTTGGTATATATTCCTTTAGACTTTTATTATTGGTGTGTGGATGTGTGTATGTGTGTGTGTGTGTGTGTGTGTGTGTGTGTGTATCCCAAATTAGGTATGTTCTTATACAATGAGTGTTTGTAATGGTTCATAACTTCCTAGCTCATATCCACCATATTTTAAGAAATTCTCTGTATAACGGGATATTAATGTTAAATAAAAACTCACTTCAGAAATATTTTTGGTAAAATACATAGTTCTAAAATTAAATTCTAAAGTGCAGAATAAAGGAAAAAAATCTGTTTTTCTCAAATAAATACATATAAACTATGTATTTATGTTGTACTTTATATTAGACAATATGAAGGAGTAAGAACTCTTATTCTCCTTTATCAAGAACAGATTTAATATTAATCATGATGATCATGTACAAATATACTTGCCATTGTAAGACATGATTTTTTCCCATAGTGTAACTTCTGAACTTGGACCCAACATCAATGGGAACATCATCAATGGGAAGATTTATCATAGTAATGTTTTATTTCTCCCTCAAAAGATTTAATATAGTAGCTTAGAACTGAGAAATCAAATGCTACTACTAAAAAATCTTAAATTTGCCTTTCCTTGAATGAAAAAGCATAGAAAAACAAATGTTATAGCAAAAGACAAAGATAAAATTTAATCTTTAAATTCATGTTTATGGAATTCCCTTTACATAAGGTTTTTTTTACATAAGATTCACAAAATGGAAGAAAAAACTTTGATGACAATAAGATCAACACTGCTAGTTCATGACATTCTGCCTGAGACATACAACAAATACAAAAGTTTAGCTTTTGCTTGCTTTTAAAAGTATTTTATAAGAAATTGAAAATGTAGAAAATTTACTGTTTCTGTCATTTGTTGTATTTCATAAATAGTGTTCTTACTTACGGATATTGCTGGGGAGAGGGTTATATTTCCTATAGACACTTTTAATTCATCCAAAGATGCCATTGTGTGATGTGAATTATTTGGATGCATAGGTTTGATTTCTATTCGATACTTCTTTGGTTCTTCATCTTCAGAGTCAGAATCACTAGATGAGTAGAAATGGTTCTCTTTGGTATGTGAATATCAGTTAAAGAATTTAGTTTTTAAAGTATCTCAGTACATAACAAGCTTTTTACACATTTATTAAAAAAGAAAACTGAAAGAGTAAATGGACTTCAATAGAAATAAAACTACTAATTTTTATTAGTAAAAACAATTGAAATATGGGGCCAGCAGGTGGCCCATATTAAGACACTGGACTCCCACATAGCAGCCAACTGCAGTTCAAGTCCCAGACCTGGTGGCTTGAAGTTCACGCTGGGCTTGTGTACGTCCATGCCCGAAATCCTGAGAGAGAATGGAAGAGAAGGTATTGTGGTGTTGTCACCCCCCTGAAGGGTTATTTCTAACTTCTGTCTCTGTCTCTGGTGAGTGCATGCACTCCATAGCAAAAATCTCTCTCAAAAGAAAAAATCTGAAATAGTCTATATTTTATTATAATTAAAAACTTTAATAAGAGACTTTATGTATCACATTATTTTGTTATAACTGGCTATTTAAATGCCAACACAATTCATAGGAAAACACAGATGATAAAAGGATATCATTCTGATTTGCTTCTGGTTTAATACTATAGCCTTCTTCATCAACATCAGGAATGTTCTATGGCGGAAAAAATTACTGTAATGGCAACTCTAACATTCAAAGTATTAAAGATTAGCAAAACAGTCTCTTAGACAAATAAAATAGAAAGATTTGTCAGTAGTAGATAAGGCTATTATCAGTAATATATAAGGCTATTTTATTTTGCTAAATCATTTATCAAATATCAACAGTTATATACCAGTTGTGTGACTGGCCCACATGGGAAGGGAGCTTCCTGGGCATGCCAGCACATGAACATATGTCCCTGGACTGGGCCAGCTGAGACTGGTGGTGAACTGTAGTGTGGGGACTGTCAGAGGCACACCCTCTCTCTCTCAAGGAAGAAACAATAATAAATAAACAAATGAATAAATCAATCAACAGGTTAGCAAAATTATTAACCTATGGGAAAATTATCTTTTTAATTATCTTCAAGTCACATTCAACATTTCACAAGTTTGAAAGAGGACAGACAAACACAGAAGAAACATTTTCAGGGCAAGAAATCACCAAGGTGAAGACCAATTCAGATTGTTCAAATCTACAGTTTCTATTATGAGTCAGTTAGTGTTAAATGTTATTTTTAAAAGTACTATCAAGTTTAATATTCTCCATGCTCTAAGAAGTCATCTGAAAAGAGAACATCCATTGCCTCTCTAAGCAGCTTTAAAGTCTGGATGGTCTAATGACACTACCTATGACAAAGCATCAGTATTTGCCAACATCCCATGAGGAGTGACAACTAGACATCAGATCCTTCTGAGAGAAGTAGCCTTGTCAAAACAAAACAAATACAAAAATCTTGACCCTAAAAACTGATCAAGTGTCTAGATCCAAATGCCAATTTACTTAACATAAAGAAGTAAAACATAATACATTACAGGAATGCATCCAGCAAAATCCAGCCTAAAAGAGTTTACAAAACAAACCAGCTAGTCTCTTAGATAAATAAATAGAAAGCTAAAGTGAAAGAAAGAGCAAGAGAAAGGGAACCTATAGATTAAGAGGGACTTAAAGGACTTAGCAACAAATTCAAACAAACAGCAATAAAAGTGATATTAAGAGGGGCCAGGCAGTTAGCGTAATGGCTATGTCGCTGGACTCCCACATAGTAGACCACGGTTCGCATCCCGGACCCGGTGGCTTAAAACTCACACTGGGCACGTGTGTGTGCGTGCCCAAGATCCCGAGAGGAGAACGGAGGAGAAGGGATTGTGGCGTGGCCATCCCGCCTGGGGGGTGATTTCTTGCTTTCTGTGTCTGTCTCTGTCTGACTGGCGAGCTCATGCGCCCTATAGCAAAAACCTCTCCAAAAAAAAAAAAAAATGATATTAAGAGATAATGATAGGGTCCAGTAGCCTAATGGTTAAGGAATCTAAATCCCACAAGGTTTACTGTAGTTCAAAGCTCCATCTGGCATCTTAAAAAACACAGCAGGAGTAGCATGAGTATGTACATGTCACATGTGCTCCAAATCTTAACAGGAAGGAAAAATGAAGGGACCAAAGCAAGACCACACCTCATGGGAGTGGTGCTTTCTCCCTTTTCTCTGTCTCTCTCACAAGTACATGTGCTCTTTGACAATTAAAAAACTGAAAAAGATATAATAATAATAAATGCTAAATAGCTACTTGAAAATACTAAGGAGTTAATGCAATTTTTGTTAAGGTCTTTGTTATAAGGTGCATGCCCTCACCTAAGAGAGAAAGAAGAAAAGTGAGGATACACCCACCCCCTAAGCAGGATGGCCATGCCACATTCCGTTCTCCTCCATTCTCCTCTTAGAATTTTGAAGGGGTGTGCGCACGCGCGCGCGCGCACACACACACACACACACACACACACCCCTAGTGTGATTTTCAAGCCTTTGGGTCCAGTCCTTGAACTATGGTCAGCCATAGAAGAATCCAGTGCATTAACCACCATGTCATTTCTGGCCTCTGTAAATTATTTTTAGGTGGTATTATGATCATATTTTAGAAATATATATATATATAAAATATTTAGATGAAATTAATTTTAAAAGATGCAGCCCCTCAATTTTTTAAAATACATAAACCTTTTTGAAAAAGGATAGGATATGAGTAACTTCCCTATCAAGATAAACTATTGGTTTTTTAAAAGGTTAGTGTTATTGCTATTATTTTAATTTGACTGGAGAGAGATACATAGAGAAAGGGAAAGTGAGAAAGCAAGCTGCCAGTTCTCTGACTTGAACCATGGTCTCCCATGTGGGAGTCCAGTACTTTAACCACCATGTCACCTGCTGGCCTCCCAGCCTATTGATGTTTTTAAAAGTAGTTAGTAAGACAAGGCTATAATAAAATGGAAATAAGGCCAAGCCCCAGTGGCACAGGCGATAGGGCACTACTTCAAATAAGGGAGATATATGGGGAGGTCTGGATTTTGGATCCTGAGTCAAACTGAACATGCCAGGCATGCCAGAGATACTGGGGGCAGTACTGCAACATGGCAAGACCATGTCAGGTTCCCTAACTCTCTCATGAAAGAAACTCAAAAGAGAAAAAAAAAAAAAGAAGAAGAAGCAACAAATAATGAAGAACTCCTTCTGCTGGCCATTGTTTTACTCCATTTCTCAAAAGGAACTATGATTGTCTTGTAATGGGTTCTTTAAAAAAAAAAAAAAGAGGGTATCACAAAACAGTAAGCACTTGCTTTCATCTAGTAAATTCTTTCCACATCAACAGGTACAGATCTACCCAATTCTTTGTAACATTTGGCTAATAAACATCAAGTAAGTGTTTAAATACATATTTAACCAGTTACCATTTCAATAAATGCTTTGGTATTCCCGGCTTTTTACTAATATAAGCAACACTGAAATAATTATCTACCTTTTCCTTCTCTCCCTCACCTCTACATATGCATACTGATCGAGAGAGAGAGAGAGACAGTGACAGAGAGGGTATAAAGTTTTGTGAATATAGATATAACAGAAAATTCCTAGTAGAGAGACTGCAGGGTCAAAAAAACAAATGTGCATTTCTTATTTGGGGCAATAACAACAAAATATCCACAAGATAGGCTGTACTAATTTATATTCCTACCAACAATATAAGTGTATAAAAATTTATATCAGTATGATTAGATACTACAGGAATGTCATTCTAATTTGCATCAAAATGAGATTACTATTGTGAGCAACAACATATATTCAACAATTCGCCACCTTTATTTATGTTGCCTGTTTTTATTCTATGCCCTATGCTACTGGTCACTTGCTTACATTTTGTACTAATTTCTATAAAAATTGTATAAAGGAAAGTAGTTAGCCTTTGTTACATGCCTTGCAATTATGCTCTGCAAGTTTATCTTCAGTAATTCAAATCCTTTTATGTATGTTTTCTCATTTTAAACACTTTTCACTTCTACACAAATCTAGCAGTCATTTCTTACATGACATTAGAATTTTCGGGACCAGCAGTTAGCGTAATGGCTATGTCGCTGAACTGCCATGTAGTCGACTGTGGTTCAAGTCCCGGACCCGGTGGCTTAAACTCATGCCAGGTGCGAGTGCGTACATGCCCAAGATCCTGAGAGGAGAATGGAGAAGAGATTGTGGCGTGGCCATCCAGCCTGGGGGGTGATTTCTCGCTTTCTGTCTCTCTGTCTTTCTGGTGAGCACATGCACCCTATAGCAAAAACTTCTCCAAAACAAAACAAAATAAAACAAAACAATTTTATTCTCCTCTTTACAAGTTCTTTCCTAATACCAGGTAAGTATTAGGTAAAGTTAAAAACTTTAATAATACTGATAATACTGATCACTATAAAACAGTATCAATTAGCTACTAAAATAACTTTAAATGTTTTATTTAAAGGGAACATACACAAAAGAAAGTATTAAAGGATTTTATTAAATGCTGAAATCACCAAATAAATGGTATACATAATAAATTCAGAAATAAAATGCAAACCACCAATATATCTATTGATTCTTTTTCATGAATTAGTTAACCAAGGATATAAAAGAGGCAAGTAGCAAGGTAAATATTATAACTCCAAAAACACCATGGAGATTTCAGCCCTAGGGGTCATACGAAATCTATTTCTTAGTTTTCATACAATTTTATTAACGAATCAAAATTCCTTTTGATTTGAAAGCTGAAATATGAAACAAAAATACAAGTTTCATCTTAGTTAAGTAACATAAAACATAAAATATTTGTGTTTCACAAAATATTTTTAGTTATTCATTCTAATATACCATTTATGCAAAATGCTGTTGGGCCAAAGGAAACAATAGTTATGCAAGCAAGAACAATAAGCAGAGACAGATTGTTTGAAACTCATATACTTACCAAAAACATGATCAGTGTCTAATGCACAATTTGAAAAACATGTCTATCTACACATTACTTACAGCATTTGGTAAATTTACTCTCCCATTGTAACCACAGGGAGCCCCGCCTGATGTCTTCTTTAATTATATATAGAATACATTTAACCAAAAAATATATGCAAACCTTTAAATAAAACAAAACAAAGGAAAGCAAAACAAGACAAAAGGCACAGAAAAGTGCTAATACCACAGTTGTTGTTGCTATTATTTCTAAAATGACAATCTCTTAAATGAGTCTCAAATATGTAAACAGATAAATTATATTTTAATAGAGCTAAGAATAAACTAGTAAGAGCACCACATTTAAAAAAAAACCATGCAGATGTGATATCTGGCACATTTTTCAAGAAAAAGCATTATGATAATGGTACTATTACTCTGCACCACTCCAGTTTTAAAAGTAAAACAACTACTTTTAGTTAGTAGAAATATCTTTTTATTTAATATTAAAGCATCTGGCAATACAAAGCAAAAAGGCACCTGTAAACTAATTTTAATAGTAAATTTACAGTAACATGCTTAGCTTCTTTCTTTTAAATATTGCTAAACAACTCAGATATGCTAGGTTTCCTTAAGAAAATAGCTAATTTAGGAGCAGCAGGTGGCATCATGGTAAAGGGCGCTGGACTCCCACATGGCAGGCCACAGTTCAAGTCCCAGACCCAGCAGCTTATTCTCTCACTTTCCCTCCCTCTCTCTCACTCTGTCCCTTTCTGGTCAAATTAAAAAAGTAAATAAAAGAATTAGGTTAAATAATTATTTTTTAAAAAGAAAATAGCTAATTTAAATAGTTTATATCAAACTTAAAATTACTTACGAGTGAATCTGCATCAGGGCCTTCCCTAGTAAAACAAACAAAATATCATACAAACTCAATTATTACAATTTTCTGTTAATTATACTCTATTTAAAGTGTTTACCTTAGCATTTAACTATAACTTTTACTTAAACTCTACAAAAATATTTACACAAATCAAATCATGAAGATAAAAATAAGTATTTTCTAAAATTTGTTCTTTACAATACAGTCACTAAGATGAACTGACTGCTACATTTAAATTTTTACTTATGGGCCGGTTCCATAGGGCAGCAGTTAAGTGCAGCAGTGCAAAGAGAGCCAGGGAGCCAAAACCCACACAGGCATCCACAGTTCAAATTCCAGAACTGGCAGCTTGACAAACACACCAGGTACATCCAAGTATGTCCAGGAACCTGATGAGATGGAGAAATGGAAAACCAGGGACCAGTAGATGGCATACTGGTTAAGTCCCTGGCAGTAGCTGACTGTGGTTTGAGTCCCAGATCCAGCAGCTTAAAACACATGCCAGGCATGTGTGCGTACGTGCCCAAGGTCCCGAGAGGAGAATAGAAGAGAAGGGATTGTGGTGTGGCCATCACTCTGTCTCTGTTTCTCCAGCGAACTCATGTGCCCTATAGCAAAATCTCTCTTATAAAGAGAGAGAAAGAGAGAGAGGGAGAGAGAGAAATGGAATACCAAAAGGATTGTAGCATAATGAAGTCCCACTGGGGGTTCTTTCTCTCTGTCCTCCTCTCTTGTGTACATACGTACCCTCTGGCATTAAAACAAATTTACTTACAAACCAATTGATTTAACTTTGATATGCATTTCCAATTATTATGAAAAAAGATTAGGTTTCATTCCCTTAGCAAAACATCTTTTTCATAAATACTCAAGAAAGACATCAGCAGAAAACATGGTAACTGTAGGTAAAAGGCACTTCATAATTGATCTTAATTTGTTAATCAAATACTACAAGAAAGAGAAGAAGAGACAGATATTTAGAATGGGAGAAAGTCAAGATAAAAAATATGTAGATAGGTAGAAGACACTAACACCCAAAACACAAACTGTTCTGTTATGTGAAAATACAAGTGTCTATCAAAATATTAAATTTTGTTAACAGTTCTGCTGATAATGCTAGAGAAGTGGGGTTGTTAAATTAATTTTTAGGCAGGTTACTAGGTCAACAAATCACTCAAGACTTTTGATTAGCATCTCTTCGGTCTAAATGGACTGAGTAATTATGGAAAGAAAAATTCCTTTAAGTTCTACTTGGTCTCTGATTGAGTACAGCTCAATGCTTTTCAACCCTGCTGTACATTAGGAATCACATGGGCTGCTTAAAACAGAACAAAAACTATGCTGGAGCCTCATACCCAGCGAATCTGATTTAACAGGCCTCAAGTGGGACCTGGCATTGGTCTATTTGTTTTAATTTCCAAGGCAGTTCTAATCTGTAATCAAGCAGAAAACTTCATTTAGCTAATAATATTAACTCAATTTCTTACATACTAATTATATATTCTTTGTATACTTTACTAAATTCTTATTTTTAAAAGAAGGCAAAGGACTAGCAGTTGGCATAGTGGCTATGTTGCTGGCCTCCCATGTAGTTGACAGCGGTTTGAGTCCAGACCCGGTGACTTAAACTCACACCAGGTATGTGTGTGTGCATGCCCAAGATCCCGAGAGGACAACGGAGGAGAAGGGACTGCAGCATGGCCATCCCCCCTGAGGGGTGATTTCTCGCTTTCTGTCTCTCTGTCTTTCTGGCAAGCGCACATGCCCTATAGCACAAAGGCCCCTCGCCCAAAAAAAAAAAAAAAAAAAAAAAAAAAAAAAACCTAAAAAAAAAGGTAAATCAAGACTTAGACTGGACCAAATATGTCATCTAAAAATGATGACCTAGTATAAGTGGAAAAAACATATCGGGGGGACCAGCAGGTGGTGTGGTGGTTAAGGCACTGGAAACTCCCACATGGCCCCAACTATGGTTTGAGTCCCAGACCTGGTGGTTTGCCTTCTCACTTTCTCTCTCTCTCTCTCCCCCTCACATGGCAGGCCACAGTTCAAGTCCCAGACCCAGCAGCTTATTCTCTCACTTTCCCTCCCTCTCTCTCACTCTGTCCCTTTCTGGTCAAATTAAAAAAGTAAATAAAAGAATTAGGTTAAATAATTATTTTTTAAAAAGAAAATAGCTAATTTAAATAGTTTATATCAAACTTAAAATTACTTACGAGTGAATCTGCATCAGGGCCTTCCCTAGTAAAACAAACAAAATATCATACAAACTCAATTATTACAATTTTCTGTTAATTATACTCTATTTAAAGTGTTTACCTTAGCATTTAACTATAACTTTTACTTAAACTCTACAAAAATATTTACACAAATCAAATCATGAAGATAAAAATAAGTATTTTCTAAAATTTGTTCTTTACAATACAGTCACTAAGATGAACTGACTGCTACATTTAAATTTTTACTTATGGGCCGGTTCCATAGGGCAGCAGTTAAGTGCAGCAGTGCAAAGAGAGCCAGGGAGCCAAAACCCACACAGGCATCCACAGTTCAAATTCCAGAACTGGCAGCTTGACAAACACACCAGGTACATCCAAGTATGTCCAGGAACCTGATGAGATGGAGAAATGGAAAACCAGGGACCAGTAGATGGCATACTGGTTAAGTCCCTGGCAGTAGCTGACTGTGGTTTGAGTCCCAGATCCAGCAGCTTAAAACACATGCCAGGCATGTGTGCGTACGTGCCCAAGGTCCCGAGAGGAGAATAGAAGAGAAGGGATTGTGGTGTGGCCATCACTCTGTCTCTGTTTCTCCAGCGAACTCATGTGCCCTATAGCAAAATCTCTCTTATAAAGAGAGAGAAAGAGAGAGAGGGAGAGAGAGAAATGGAATACCAAAAGGATTGTAGCATAATGAAGTCCCACTGGGGGTTCTTTCTCTCTGTCCTCCTCTCTTGTGTACATACGTACCCTCTGGCATTAAAACAAATTTACTTACAAACCAATTGATTTAACTTTGATATGCATTTCCAATTATTATGAAAAAAGATTAGGTTTCATTCCCTTAGCAAAACATCTTTTTCATAAATACTCAAGAAAGACATCAGCAGAAAACATGGTAACTGTAGGTAAAAGGCACTTCATAATTGATCTTAATTTGTTAATCAAATACTACAAGAAAGAGAAGAAGAGACAGATATTTAGAATGGGAGAAAGTCAAGATAAAAAATATGTAGATAGGTAGAAGACACTAACACCCAAAACACAAACTGTTCTGTTATGTGAAAATACAAGTGTCTATCAAAATATTAAATTTTGTTAACAGTTCTGCTGATAATGCTAGAGAAGTGGGGTTGTTAAATTAATTTTTAGGCAGGTTACTAGGTCAACAAATCACTCAAGACTTTTGATTAGCATCTCTTCGGTCTAAATGGACTGAGTAATTATGGAAAGAAAAATTCCTTTAAGTTCTACTTGGTCTCTGATTGAGTACAGCTCAATGCTTTTCAACCCTGCTGTACATTAGGAATCACATGGGCTGCTTAAAACAGAACAAAAACTATGCTGGAGCCTCATACCCAGCGAATCTGATTTAACAGGCCTCAAGTGGGACCTGGCATTGGTCTATTTGTTTTAATTTCCAAGGCAGTTCTAATCTGTAATCAAGCAGAAAACTTCATTTAGCTAATAATATTAACTCAATTTCTTACATACTAATTATATATTCTTTGTATACTTTACTAAATTCTTATTTTTAAAAGAAGGCAAAGGACTAGCAGTTGGCATAGTGGCTATGTTGCTGGCCTCCCATGTAGTTGACAGCGGTTTGAGTCCAGACCCGGTGACTTAAACTCACACCAGGTATGTGTGTGTGCATGCCCAAGATCCCGAGAGGACAACGGAGGAGAAGGGACTGCAGCATGGCCATCCCCCCTGAGGGGTCTCGTCTCGCTTTCTGTCTCTCTGTCTTTCTGGCAAGCGCACATGCCCTATAGCAAAAAAAAAAAAAAACCTAAAAAAAAAGGTAAATCAAGACTTAGACTGGACCAAATATGTCATCTAAAAATGATGACCTAGTATAAGTGGAAAAAACATATCGGGGGGACCAGCAGGTGGTGTGGTGGTTAAGGCACTGGAAACTCCCACATGGCCCCAACTATGGTTTGAGTCCCAGACCTGGTGGTTTGCCTTCTCACTTTCTCTCTCTCTCTCTCCCCCTTTCTCTCTCTTTGTGTCTCTCTCTTGTCAAATTAAAATAAATGAATAAAAAAAATTAAATAATCCTTATAAAAACACATATTCGTTTTTTCCCTCTATTTTAATTTTCCATTTGTGAAAACATGTATCATCATGCCTATATGCTTAGAATTTCCTTGAAGAATTTTTATCAAATAGTTGACCGGAAGTTTTATCTTAGATTTTAAGACTTAGATAATTTTTCAGTTTTCTCTGTAGTTTTGATTGATTTTTCATACTACACATGTACTGTTTTATAAAAATAAGAGCATTTAAAGTGTCCATTTCAAAACACTAAAGCTTCCATCTATAATATCTTTAACTTTTTTTAAAGAATTACTTTATTTAATTTTATTTATTCATTCATTTATTTTTAATTTGACGAGAGAGAGAGAGAAAGTGAGAAAGCAAGCCATCAGGTCAGGGCTCAAACTGTGGTCAGCCATGTGGGAGTATCCAGTGCCTTAACCACCACACCACCTGCTGGTCCCAATATATTAAAATTTTAAAATAGTAAAAAAAGTTAATATTTAAAGTCAGGGGAAAAGCAATTTACTTAGAAAGGTTTATATTTTTTGTACTTTAGGTGCATACTTTTTTAAATAATATACTCATATTTTAATTCCATTTTTCCACAAACTATTTTTTCCTTTTGTTATGACAGAGGGCACAGGTGAGGTGCTCAGAAAAGAGCACTTTTCAACAGGGCCTTGTCATACTGCAATCCTTTTCCCCCAAATTCACCTTCCCATTAGGATCCTGCACATGTGCTCAGCATGTAAGTTGCTGGAGCCTAAATTCCTGGTTGGCTACATGGAATCCAACTTTCCATATAGCACTTACCTAATACATCATGGGACCTGATACATCATGGGGTTGATTCTACATGTATTCCTTTAAATATATTTTTTCCAAATACAAAACAATAGTCTTATTCTTAATCACTTAAAAGAAAAAAAGATCTTGATAATATTTACTTACACAGATTCTGCGTCCTTTTCCTTTTTAATTATTCCTGGCAAAGCAAAAGTCTTTCTTTTCCTTGGTTTGATACCTTTAAGATAAATGTAAAATGTTATATAGATATAACTGTTCCTAATAAACATGTTGAACTTAAGACTAGATCCTGCAAATTGACAATTTAAAATTGTGTAAGTTTATGGGGTACAATTGCTGTTTAGGATTTATGAATACATCATGTATCCTGACAGAATTTGCTCATGACCACTGATGCTGATTTGAATTAAAATTACCTTAAAATAGGTATCAGCTATTAAACACTGATATTTAAACCAGTTATACTTTGTTTAGATCTTTCTTATGGTCCACTATTCATCAAAAGGTTACTGAACATTCATCTAACCAGTGAAATTCTCTTTTCTTGTCCTAAGCCAAGTCACCTCAGGCAAAATAAGCATAGGAAATACATTAAAATTCTAAGAAAGTGCATTATTTTAGATTTTGTTATAAATATAGGGCAATCTTGCTCCCTGTCTAGGTCACAAAATATTAATGTATTGTTTTAAATAAAAAGATGACCAGGCAGACCCTTTAGAAGTGTAATATAGGAGTTTGCAATAAGGTGTTCTTTTGTCTGTATATTACCCTAATACTAACAATTCTTCAAAGGAATCCTGCCATAACAGAAGGGTAAAGATCAACATTTTTCCTAACATGACAACTCTTCCTCCTCTTATTGCATGACAGTTTTTTTTAAAGATCAGTCATGTTATTAACTGTTGAGGGAATTCAGCATTTAAAGCTTATCTGCTACTTTCTGCCAAGTTGGCAGTAAGAGACCTTAGCTCACCTAAATTAATCCCTCCTCTTACGGATGGGGAAATTCAAAAGTTTTCTTTATTTTTTAACTTACTGCTTTACAACTAGTAAATATTACTGCTGAAACAAGAATCCAGGTGTCACAATATAATGTACTTGCTATCATGCAAAGTTAACTCCTTAAACTACTCATTTACACAGCACTTATATTTTGAACATCAACGATACTTTTAATGTTCAGTCTAGGTATTATTTATTATTCACACTTTACAGAAATGGAAGTTGAAGTTCAGAAAACAAAAGTGATTATGTATAACACACCAATCTCCAGATTCTTACATAGGGGTTGGGGGGGGAGATTTCTTCCAATTATTTCCAATAGGTCAAAAAGTGAGATATGAAACATGAACAAGAACAGTAGGCATCTCTTGGGTTTCATTCAGTGAAAAACACCTCTTTAGGGCTGGCCCTGTGACCTAGTAATTAAGAGAGCCAGATCTTGCTGGGAACTGCTGGTCTGAATACAGTTTTCTGAGTGGGGAAGGCTGTGGATTAGAAATAAATGCACAAAGACACACAAGTATAGAAAAGCGAGGATCGGGTGGGCTCGGCTTCCCTGATGGGAGAAGTTGCGACCTCGCCCTCAGGTTTTTTCTTTTAAAGGGCAGAAAATGGAGTAAGAGGAAATGGAATGCAAAGCCAGCTGTTTCTGGATATAAATCATCTAAAGATGTAAAAATGACTGGCGCCACGTAATTTCTCTGATCTTTTGGGGGGAGAATCTGAAGAACACATGTAGCTTCCTTTAGCATCCTACTGCCCTACAGTATAGGGTATCAGTAACAACAGGAAGATAACCTGTAACAACAGGCAAATAGCTTTTTTCGTATATAAAGGTTCTCAATAGCCATTGCTAGAGTAGCTCAGGGAAGGATTTCCCCTTGCGTCTAAAGGTTACATGTTTTCTCAAATTGGGGCTCTCTACAAGATCCCATGTGGCCAACCACATGGCCCAAGTCCTGACACTGACAGCTTAAAAAATACACCAGGTATGTGTGCATGCATACCCAAAATCCCAACAGAAAGGGGAAGGGATTGCAGTGTGACCATGCCCCAACAGGAAACTCTTTCTCCCTCTCCCTTTCTGTTTCTTTGCTTCTCTCTGGTGAGCACAAGCACCCTCTGTCAATAAGAGAAAGAAAAATCTACCTAAATTGGAGTCAGGCTTGCTGTAGACTCCTCCAAATCAAATTATCACCCATTTTGATAATATTTACATTATTGAATAACTTCATTAATTAATGAAATGGTACTACAGAATGAGCATTATGCATTAATGTGTAGTGATGAGTTTCATATTCATGATATTACAAAGTTTAAAGATGGATGTCAATACAGAAAAACAATCTCAATATATTTTGGAAAACATGCTATATTTAAACTTTTAACATGTATATCTTGGTCCAGCTTTGTAGCACAGGCCATAAACTAGTGATCAGTAGTGTTGGAAACCACATGTCTGACTGTGGGTTTGGATCCCAAAATAATTTGAAACATGCCAGGAACATGGATACTACATGCCCCAAATCTTGACTACCTGGAAAGCTGAGTGAAGGGGATTACAGATTACAAAGGGACAAGATCCTGTTGAGGGTACCTATCTCTTTATCCTGAAAGAAATAAACTTGAATACACACACACACACACACACACACACACACAAACACAAACACACACATATTCCTTTGGGTAAATCTATTATTTATTTATTAAGTAATGATTAGTGTCTACAGACCTTCAGACTACATTCAGATTTGTACACCACTCCATAGGTATGGTGAAACCTATGGACTATAGATCCTCTTTATTTGTTCAGCAAACAAAAGACACTAGCGAGCTGCTATGTGATGCATTACAACTATCCAACTTACCTTCAACTGCACTAGCAGGGTCACATTCTTCAAATTCAATAAGGCCTGGAAAAAAATCGAACAAGTTCTAGGAAAAGAGTAACCCCACAAAGATGTGTAGCAATTATATATAAACCAGGAATCACAATTTTAAAAAAAGAGTAGAAAACAATTATCAGATAAATGCCATTATGATCCTTTTTTTACACTTTCATTTTTTTAAAATACACAATATATCTTTTAGTTTCAATATGTGCTCCAGTATTAGCTGATAATTAAAATACTGCTAATAATTAATACAAATTAATATTATTACACACACCTGGTGTGATTTTTAAGTTACTGGGTCCAGGACTTAAACAACAGAGTTGGTTATGTGAGATCCAGAGCTTTAACCACCATACCACCAGCTGGCTTACCATTATAATTTTTTTAACTGAATTTAAATTTAAATTAAATTTAAGGACTTTATTCAAGCTCACTCTGCAAATATGGAAGTTGAGATATCATTTAAAAAAGAGTACTGGAGGCGTGTTGGTTAAGGTGACTGGATCCCACCTGGATAAGTATGAGGTTCGAGTCCTAGACCTGGCAGTTTGAAAAACACGCCTGGGGAACCAGCAGAGGGCATAATGGTTACGTCACTGGACTTAACGTAGTCAACCACAGCTTGAGTCCTGGCATCTTAAAATTCACGCAGGGCATGTATGCGTGCATGCCCAAGATCCTGAGAGAATGGAAGAGAGGGACTGCAGCATGGCCATCCCCTGAAGGGGGGGGGTGCTTTCTTACTATCTGTCTCTCTGTTGAGTGCATGTGCCCTATAGCAAAAATTTCTCTTAAAAAAGAAAAGGAAAAACATTCCTCGAGCATGTGGACACATTCATGCATGTACCCAAAATCTCAAGAAGAGAACAGAGAAGCGATTGTCATGTGGCCATCCTCCCCTTAGGAGTGATTTCTTACTTTCTCTTTCTGTCTGTCTCTCTTCAGTTGCCCCACAGCAAAAAATGAAAGGAAAAAAGAGTGGGATCAGCAGATGACGTAATGGTTACATCACTGGGTTCCCATGTAGTCCATGGGGTTAAAGTCCCGGACCCTAGTGTGGCTTAAAACTCACACTGGGTGCATGTGTGTACGTGGCCCAAGATCCCAAGAGGAGAAGAAGGGATTGTGGTAGGGTGATTTCTCACTCTGTCAGTCTGTCTCTGTCTCTCCGGCCCTATAGAAAAAATCTCTCTCAAAAAAAAAAAAAAAAGAAAAGAAAAGAAAAGTAAGGGTACTTAGTACTTAACTTGTTCTTAGAATTCCTTAGAGACCTATCTTGATCATTTACAAGAAAAGGGCAGACTGAAAGCTCAACAATGGTAAAGAATTTAACTATGTCATCTCATAATTAGCAACTTTTTACTTGGTATAAAAATTATGAAAGGTTGGGACCAGCAGGTAGCGCGATGGTTAAGGTGCTGGATACTCCCACATGGCTGACCACAGTTCAAGGCCCGGACCTGGTGGCTTGCTTTCTCACTCTTTCTCTCTCTCTGGTCAAATTAAAATAAACAAATGAATAAATAAAATTAAATAAATAAAAAGAAATTATGAATGTTGAGGGACCAGCAGTTAATGTAATGGCTAAGTCGACCACGGTTCAAGTCCTGGACCCGGTGGCTTAAACTCATGCCGGCACATGTGCGTGTGAGCCCAAGATCCTGAGAGGAGAATGAAGAATGGATTGTGGCATGGCCATCCCCCCCGGGGGGGGGTGATTTCTTGCTTTCTGTCTCTCTGTCTGTCTGGCGAGCACACACACTCGATAGCAAAAAACTCTCAAAAAAAATTTATGAAGGTGAAAAACCCCTACCTAAATTACCAACAGCTTATTATGTATTACTGACTTTTCCAAGTACTACCACAGCTGAGAAAATATAATCATCTATCAAATAAATCTGAGAAGGGTTTACCAAGTAAAGGCAACTTGCAATGTGGCTGACCAGGCATAGCTGTGGTAGTGTGTGCCAGTAGACACTGCTACTCAGCAGACTGAGGCCACCTGGGAGGCTCAGGTTCACTTTCTGGTCCAGGGTGGACATGGAGATATGTGCCTATCTTCCTAGCTACTCAGGAAGTTCACACAAGAGGACTACAATATAGCAAAACCCTGTCAAGAAAAAAAAAAAAATTAAATATAAAGGCCAAGTCCTTTCAAAAATAAAATACACACTGAGAATTCTGAGTACCATCCACATAAACTTTTCTCCTAAAGATCAGCGTTTTCTGGTATAATAAAAGTGCATATACTCTTCAAAAAGAAACACTTTTTCATTTACGCATGAGGAAGATTTCCTTTTTCAAATGGCATATGCTCCACATGCTGCTGCACATGGCCAGGCTTTGCGTGCCTGGCTCCAGGCCAGTTGGCGGCTCAGCTGGATATCAATGCACATTCTGACCCCCCTTGTAGCATGTCACTTCTGAACTGTTTCACAAGTGGAAAGTTTATTCAGCATCGCCCTCAAATGCAGTCCACTGCCCATCATTCTGCTATTTAATCATAAGACAAGTTATTTTTTTTGACAGTACTAAGGCCAGAGTGAGCATCTTAATGAACAGTTTGCTGGAATTGGAATTTCAACTGTTTTAGACTCAATTAATTCTGTTGTCAAAATAAATAACTGCTCTTAGCACTTAGATTTTATGCTAGGTCACAAGGGCAATTTAGTTTGTATAAAAGCAAATAAAACCCTTTTGGCTCTGTCTCCTGATGCTCTTTTACACATTATCTAAAAACACCACTATGAGTTCAATACAACTCATGTGCAACAGAAGAACTCTAAAAGGTCAATGATTCAAACCAAAACAATTAAATATGATGCTTTCAATCAAGTAGGAATAAATCACTCCCATCAAAACAATAAAAAAAAACCATGAACCTAAATATTTCATCCAAACATGATTTATATCAAAACTTTTAAGAAATATTACACGAGGAAAAGCAATTTACTTAGTACTAAGCTTTAATCACTACAAATGTTTTATGGATGAGGCACAGAATAAATTTGTGAAATATTTCATTAACAATCTCCATTGCTTTGGAATGAATCCTGAATCTCAGGCCACAGAGAGAGCAAGTTTGCAACTTTGTCTAGTAAAAAAAACTGGCTTCAAATCTTAAATTGTCTGGGCTATTAAAATCAAGCATACTTCTGCATATTTCCAATTAAAGCCAAAGAACACTTGATTCTAATAGAGCCTAGGTAAAACATATAAACATACCCAGACACACACCCAACATCTAATAAAGGGAACAATGATAATGACAGGGTGCATACACACGCGTACACACAGGGATGCAAGCGCATGCGCGGAAAGCAGCATGACTCATAACAAAGGAAGTCAAGATCACATTTTCAAGCTTGCTCCTGGGCCTGTGGAATGTAACACAGCCACATTCCCAGATGCCTGGGATGAAGAACCAGGCTTGCTAACACACACAAAAAAAGACCATCGAATTCCAGCTTGTGGTGACATGCGAAGAGCATGAAAGCTCAAACTCAACTTCCAGGTGCTGCTGGTTGGTTACCTTGAGGTATTTCTTACTCTTTTTGAACAAAAGATGTTACCATTAGAAAAGGGGAATGATAATTTTACCCTTTTTTTGCCACATTTCCTACACAGAGACACACACACAGTTTTTTTCCTTTTTTCTTTTGCTAAATCATCTGAAAGTAAGGTGCAGAGCTGGCTCTGTGGCTCAGCAGACATACACTGCTTAGGAGAAACTGGAGCCCACATGGTGATTTTGGTGTGAATCCCCAGCCCAGCCTGCATGAAACACACTAGGCACAGCACAAGTGTCCAAGATCCAGTGGACTGGAGGACTAAAGAAAAGGAATCAGAGCATGAGCGTACCCTCTTGTTCTTGTACACATCCTATCATTAATAAAGAAAAAAAAATTTAAAAGAAAGATGCAGACATCAATAACACTTCACTTCAGGAGTTCTTCTTTCTTTTAAGTATATTTATTTATTTCTTCCTTGAGTGATAGAGACAAATGTAAAGGTAAAGTAACCAAACCAGTGTGGTACCAGCATAAGGACAGAATTGAGGTGCTGGAAGTAACACATATACCAGCGTCAACTCATTTCAACAAGGGTGCACAACAATTTAATTGGAAAAGAACAATCTCTTCAACATATTATTCTAGGACAGAATTTAATATACATATAATATACAAAAATTAACTCAAAATGGATCAAAGACCTGAATAACAGAGCTTCTTAGAAAAAATGTAAATCTTAGTGACCTTCAATTTGGTAATGGTTTATTTCTTTCTTTTTTCTTTTTGAAGAGGTTTTTGCTATAGGGTACGTGCACTCGCCAGACAGACAGACAGAAAGCGAGAAATCACCCCCCGGGGGGACGGCCATGCTGCAATCCCTTCTCCTCCATTCTCCTCTTGGGATCTTGGGCACGCATGCACACGCGCCCGGCATGAGTTTTAAGGCACTGGGGCCCGGACGTGAACCGCGGTTGACTACGTGGGAGTCCAGCGACATAGCCGTTACACTAACTGCTGATCCTGCTAATAGTTTAAGACATGACAGCCAAAGCACAATAACCAAAGAAAAAGCACACTGAACTCCATCAAAATTAACCATTTTTGGGTTATCCAGGTAGTACAGTGGTTAAGGTGGCTGGATCCCATGTGGCTGACTGTGCAGTTCAAGTCCCAGACCTAGTGGCTTGAAAAACACACTGAGCATATGTGCATGCATGCCCCAAATCCCAAGAGAAGTGTGGAGGAAAAGAACTGTGACATGGTCATCCCACACACACACACCCGGAGATGCTTTCTCATCTTCTCTCTTTCCGTCTCTCTCCAGCGAATGCCTATACCCTAGAACAAATTAAAAAAAAAACTTTCAGGGGCCAGGTAGTAATGTGGCAGGTAACACAGCTGGACCTACATGAGAATGGTCCTGGGTTTATGTCCTAGGACCTTCCTGAGTAAGCCAGGTGCATGTGTACCTGTGATTCAAGACAACTGAAACTAGAGGCAAACGGT